GGCCTGCAGGTCAACAGACTTGATAGGCAAAGCTGAAGGGGACTATAGGTCTGTCATAGAAGTTTTAACTGGCAACAGGCCTGCAGGTCAACAGACTTGATAGGCAAAGCTAAAGGGGACTATAAGTCTGTCATAGAAGTTTTTACTAGCTACAGGCCTGCAGATCAACAGACTTGAGGGACAAAGCTAAAGGGGACTATAAGTCTGTCATAGAAGTTTTTACTAGCTACAGGCCTGCAGGTCAACAGACTTGATAGGCAAAGCTGAAGGGGACTTTAGGTCTGTCATAGAAGTTTTAACTGGCAACAGGCCTGCAGGTCAACAGACTTGATAGGCAAAGCTAAAGGGGACTATAGGTCTGTCATAGAAGTTTTTACTAGCTACAGGCATGCAGGTCAACAGACTTGATAGGCAAAGCTGAAGGGGACTATAGGTCTGTCATAGAAGTTTTTACTAGCTACAGGCCTGCAGATCAACAGACTTGATAGGCAAAGCTGAAGGGGACTATAGGTCTGTCATAGAAGTTTTTACTAGCTACAGGCCTGCAGATCAACAGACTTGAGGGACAAAGCTAAAGGGGACTATAAGTCTGTCATAGAAGTTTTTACTAGCTACAGGCCTGCAGGTCAACAGACTTGATAGGCAAAGCTGAAGGGGACTATAGGTCTGTCATAGAAGTTTTAACTGGCAACAGGCCTGCAGGTCAACAGACTTGATAGGCAAAGCTAAAGGGGACTATAAGTCTGTCATAGAAGTTTTTACTAGCTACAGGCCTGCAGATCAACAGACTTGAGGGACAAAGCTAAAGGGGACTATAAGTCTGTCATAGAAGTTTTTACTAGCTACAGGCCTGCAGGTCAACAGACTTGATAGGCAAAGCTGAAGGGGACTTTAGGTCTGTCATAGAAGTTTTAACTGGCAACAGGCCTGCAGGTCAACAGACTTGATAGGCAAAGCTAAAGGGGACTATAGGTCTGTCATAGAAGTTTTTACTAGCTACAGGCATGCAGGTCAACAGACTTGATAGGCAAAGCTGAAGGGGACTATACATATGTCTGTTGTAGAAGTTTTTCACATATTTTAGCTCACCTGGCCCAAAGGGCCAAGTGAGCTTTTCTCATCACTTGACGTCTGTCGTCCTGCGTCCATCGTCCTGCGTCCGTCGTTCGTAAACGTTTACAAAAATCTTCTCCTCTGAAACTACTGGGCCTAATTTGACCAAACTTAGCCACAATCATCATTGGGGTATCTAGTTTAAAAAATGTGTCCGGTGACCCGGCCAACCAACCAAGATGGCCGCCATGGCTAAAAATAGAACATAGGGGTAAAATGTAGATTTTGGCTTATATCTCTGAAACCAAAGCATTTAGAGCAAATCTGACATGGGGTGAACTTGTTTATCAGGTCAAGATCTATCTGCCCTTGAAATTTTCAGATGAATCTGATATCCAGTTGTTGGGTTGTTGCCCCTGAATTGGTAATTTTAAGGAAATTTTGCCGTTTTTGGTTATTATCTTGAATATTATTATAGATAGAGATAAACTGTAAACAGCAATAATGTTCAGCAAAGTAAGATCTACAAATAAGTCAACTTGACCAAAATGGTCAGTTGACCCCTTAAGGAGTTATTGCCCTTTGTAGTCAATTTTTAACCATTTTTCGTAAATTTTTGTAATCTTTTACAAAAATCTTCTCCTCTGAATCTTCTAAGACAAATTTAACCAAACTTGTCCACAATCATCATTACGGTATCTAGTTTAAAAAATGTGTCCGATGACCCCGCCCGCGAACCAAGATGGCCGACATGGCTAGAAAATAGAGCATCGGGTAAAATGCAGTTTTTGGCTCATATCTCTGAAACCAAAGCATTTAGAGCAAATCTTACAAGGATAAAATTGTTCATTAGGTCAAGATCTATCTGCCCTGAAATTTTCAGACCAATCAGGCAACACGTAGTTGGGTTGCTGCCCCTGAATTGGTAATTTTAAGAAAATTTTGCAGCTTTTGGTTATTATCTTGAATATTATTATAGATAGAGATAAACTGTGAACAGCAATAATGTACAGCAAAGTATGATCTATAAATAAGTCAACATGACCAAAATTGTCAATTGACCCCTTAAGGAGTTATTGCCCTTTATAGTCAATTTTTTACAATTTTCATAAATTTTGTAAATTTTTGTAAATTTTTACAAAATATTTTCCACCGTAACTTACTACTGGGCCAAGTTCATTATAGATAGAGATAATTGTAAGCAGCAAGATTGTTCAGTAAAGTAAGATCTACAAACACATCACCATCACCAAAACACAATTTTGTCATGAATCTATCTGTGTCCTTTGTTTAATATGCACATAGACCAAGGTGAGCGACACCGGCTCTTTAGAGCCTCTAGTTTCTGTAATACTTTAATCTGTTGATTAGATATTTGGTGTATAGTTATATCATAAGAACTTGCATCTATTGAAATTGAATTTCATTCTGGCAAACTGATTTTTGAAAAGTTTTGACTGGAGGACAAAGAATATTGCTTGAAAATGTCAATTTTCTATAAAAAAAATTTTAAACGCCCGTTTACGGGACGTATTATGTTATACCGTTGTCCGTCTGTCCTTCCGTCTTCAACATGTCGGACATTAACTCAAAAATGCTTTAACCAATTTGCATAAAACTTTGGTGAATTGTTTATATCTATTGACGTGAGCTCCCTTTCGTTTTTTATAAATTTTAGATTTTACGTTTCCGAGTTATGGGGTTTTATTCATTAAAAAAAGGGGGATTTTCCAGTTTTCGGACAATAACTCAAGAATGCTTTCACCAACTTGCAAGAAATTGTGGTGAATTGTTTATATCTATTGACAATGACATGAGCTCCCTTTTGATTTTTATATAATTTAGATTTTACATTTCCGAGTTACAGGGTTTTATTCATAAAAAAAGGGGGATTTTCCAGTTTTCGGACAAAAAATCAAAAATGCTTTCAGCAGTTCTTATGAAACTTTGCTGAATTGTTTATATCTATTGATGTAAGCTCCGTTTAGAATTTTATAAATTTTACATTTTACATTTCTGAGTTATGGGGTTTTATTCATTAAAAAAGGGGGGATTTTCCAGTTTTCGGACAATAACTCAAAAATGCTTTCAGCAATTCTCATGAAACTTTGGTGAATTGTTTATATCTATTGAGGTAAGCTCCCTTTACATTTTCATAAATTTCTAATATGACATTGAGAATTAATTGAACTTTAATTGTTTATAGTCTGACAACAGAGTCACTAAGTATTGCGCAACAGCACAGTGTATTGCACAACAGCAAGAAATCTTTAATTGAATATTAATTCAATTCATATAACCAATTTTAAGTTCTTTGACTACATTTATTCAGAAACCTATAATATGTCAAGTATTTAATACAATCCAAATTCAGACCTGTATCAAGCTTGAATATTGTGTCCATTTTTGCCCCAACTGTTCAGGGTTGGACCTCTGCGGGCGTATTCAGCTGCGCTCAGCAAAGCAGTTTATTCTGCAATGCTTGAACCAATTGATAAATTCACATAATAAGAAAATTTTTACCACATTTGCATTTCCTTCTAGTTGAGATATATATTTTGGACGTTGTGGTCCTTGCCTTAAAGTCATAAACATTTTTAGTATAATTATTGCAATCAGATTCAGAAATCAACTGTTGAAAATACTATATTCGATATTTGGAGGAAACATTTTTTACCTCTAGTAATGGGTAAAGTTTTATGACTGATTTACTGGAACATAGAAAATAACTTAAAAATAACAGTTTTTTGCACTGGAGTGTACCAAAATCTATGAAATTTTACAGGTCACATGAGATTATTCAAATGTTAACAGTGAGATGATGCTTTCTTTTTGCATCATATACATTTAGTTAGATTGAGGACTGCACATACATGTACAACTACAAGACACATGCGAGGTGAATGCAGGTTATGTTAAAGAACAATTATAAATATCCTTTCAGAAATTTATTTGTAGCTTTATTTCATAACCTACTGAAAAATGCAAATGTTTACCACTTATAATCAGTCAAAATAATTCACTATAAAAAAAATCTATGGTGACTTTTTAGATCACTGCCATGACTGCCAGGCATTTTTGTCTGAATTTCTTTTTAAACTGTGTGGACTTCATGTTTACACACTTATTTTTGTGAATTTAATTGTTTGTGCTAAGGACATAAAAGTTGGTTTCAAATCTGAATGTCAACCACTGTTTGTAGAGTTGTCTGTACCAAGAAATATGGAGGGACATTTGTTTAGGAATTTTATTTCATGATTTAATGTTTAATCATTTACATTATTTTATAGATCATATTATTCTCACATATTTAGTAGATTTCATACAATTAGATATCCATAGCTTTTACTGCTTGCATGGAGATATTTTGTGGTTGAAGTATTTGTATTTTATTCAAAGTCAACATTATAATAAATTTAGATCTTCCTTGAATGTATAAACTTCAAGTAAAGTTTCTATTGATTTATGGAACAGTGTTTTAATTTAAAGCTTTATCAGTAAAGTTTGAAGGCACACCTATATCTAAAACATACAGATTGGAAGCTCTTATCTCGTTTTCCCCGGCCAACTTGCAGATGGTTGGACGATCGTTAGAAACTGAAGTATGTGTCACTTAGGTTAATTTACAACAGTAAGCCGGGGCTTTTTGTTTGCTTTTGAGGTAGACGTGGCAAGCTATGCAGGATATAATGGCGTCCCTTGCTCTTCTGTAGGACATTTCAGGTAGAGTTTTTTTTTCTACAGAAACTTATTTTTTGCAGCTTTCTTGGTTCTTTAGAGAAAGAGGATGTTTTACAAGTAATATTGTCTATTTACACTTTGTATGGACTTTTAAAAAAAAAGGGTAGTAACCATAGTTAGATCAATACCTTTGGTTGTCAGTTTTTTATCTGAAGTTAGTCATAATTGTTATCAGACTTACCTTATATGGGCATTTTGTTTTACAGATCAAGGAACAGAACTACTCATCGCTAAAGAAAAAATTCAAGATTGCCAAAATATTATAACAACTTTAAATTCTGAGGTAAATACTTAATTGTTAAGAGACCGGCCAGTTATCACAACCCCTTAATGGAAGAAAAAATTAGCGAAAAATCATTTCTATGTCCAAAAACTGCAATTACATGATTGACTTTAGAGAGAAAAACTATGCTAAGATTTCGTCTTTCTTATAGAAACATTTGCCTATGTGCATGCTGTTCATCTTAAAATTTGTATTTTTGGAGTTGCAAATAAATATAGCTCTAAATAAGAATATTCTTTGTATTTATGTTATAATCTGATTTAAAAAAATTCACTTTTAGTTTTACTGATGTAAACAAACTAAAAAAAGTTAATTATTAATAAAAAACTTAAATAAGTTCATGTCAGATAGTATACATACAATTTCTTGCATTCTGACCTTATTTAACTATTTACGTTCAAATTGTTTTATTATTGGCATGGAAGTCATAAAAATGGTTGGCCTTTAATAGATACTATAAATATAAAAAAGTGTAAATGGTTCTGTATTTTCTGTGTTTCATACTAAGTTTACCTGTAGGTTAATTTAATCCCTTGCACATGGAACATCTTTCACCATTAAAGAGAAAGTTAAATAAGGGATAGTTTGTATTAAGTATTATGATTATCTGTTAAACCTTTCACAACTGTTTGCTGAGCTCTTTGTCAATTAATGTTTACATTTGTTAATATTTACACAGTATGACAAACTAATTTCAGAACGAACGACTGAAACAACTCAACCATGATTTGGAAGAGAAAGCAGAATCCTCTGAACTGCAAATCAACACTATATCTCAACAATATAGACAACTTCTGGAAGAAAGGCAGGTATGTTGTGTTCAGATCTATAAATCAACACTTTTATTGAATTACATAACAGTATAACCTTGAATATGCTTTTTTTTTAATGAAATAAAATTTCATCTTATAGAGTTTAAAAATGGGAAGAGCTAATAGAAATTAAGTCTTATTTTTATCAATAAGATTCAACATCTGGAAATTGGATGATCCGATAATATATGTAAGCAGGTATTAGTGTGAAAGGAGTTAACCTAACTAGGTATAAATATAAAAAAATGATTATGTCAAGAAGATTTTCTAATCTAATTACCACCCAGTATAAATTAATACACGCGCCCTCTGTTACCCTTTCTTCACAAACACTTTCAGAAAAGCCCAAACCTAATGAAGAACAAATGAGTATCAAAGTTGCAGTTGAGGATTTTTTCCTGTAGTGTCCTTTAATAATCATGCTATTTCTATCTGAATAATGAATATTGTAAATCATTTATATTATTGAATATCATGAATATGGTCAATAATATTAGTGGTCAGACAGTTATTAATAATGCAATTAAATAAGTATTGGGCATCGTCAACATTTAAGATCAATTTCAAGAATTTTCTAGATGCTGCCCCTATTGCAAAGTTGGTAGATCAACCATTTTGCCCAGAAAAGATTTTTATTGCACAATAATTACATTACATGTATGTTTCACGAGAATCCGTTACCGGTAGTTTGATTGGCTAACAATAATTGTGCGTCATTCAAAAATTAACCTTCATATCAAAATTAAATGTTACATTCGTGATGACACGTGCTTCCACAAAAAAAGTGCACAGGTAAATAAAAGAAAACTTGATAAAACTTTTTTGTCATGGTCTTATTACATGTAGCATAAAAATGTAATTATAAGAAAAGAATGCTTGTTTTTGTAATTTTATTGGGGTGTAAAAGTGTTGATCGTGCTTCATACAGAAATGTGCTTCGGTCAATACTTTAACACCCCAATAAAATTACAAAAAGAAGCATTCATTTCTTAAATATACTCATTGATTAGATGATGCAATATTTTAATTTTCTATTGGGTGCTATGAAAAGATAGAATACTGTGTAAAATGAAAACTATTTTGTCTAATACTTTGTTATGTGTCAATTTCACAATTTTGTAGGCATAGAATTGAAATTTTAAGTCATGTTTGTACTTAAACTGATTGTAATGTTGGGCTTCTGAATTTCATATTTGGTTCCTTATCTTTCAAACGTCAATTTTCTATCCGGCTTCTTATTGAAAAAAAGTTATTCCTTCTCATTAAACCTGAATATCAATCTGTAAACATTCAGGGATGTGGGAACTATTTCTGCTAGTCTCCACTGAAAATTAAATTCTTGTCCGGTGACAGCAATTAAGATGCACGTGTATATATCAACTTGTCACATAGTTTTAACAAGCAAGATAATAATTTCTGATATAACAAAAAGAAAGGCAAAAGTAATAACCACACCATTGACCTTTGGTCTTATGTAAATAGTTGATAACACATCTATTTATTTTTATATTGGTAGTCAAAGGGAGATACCAAAGTTTTCAAGATTTTGAGTATCGACAATAAAGAATTCCAAATTTTCCAAGCTTTTGAGTATATACAATATAAAAAGTAACGGAATTAAATATATTTTTTCAGGTAGAAATAAAGAAGTTGAAGGATGATCATCATGAGTTACTGTTACACCAGAGTACTACTGACTATGGTCAACAGAAAACAGAGTATGGAGAATATAATATGTCTGATGGTTAGTACTCTTTTATCATTTAACCAGTTGCAGCAATAATCACTGACATGAACCAGAGTAGCTGTGTCAGAATGGGATCACTAATAGTAATATTTTATATTACCGATAAAAGCTCTTGAGAGCTTGTGTTTTCTTAGTTGTACAAAACCGACTTTAAAAAAAATTATCTTATTTGCCTCAATAATAGCTGATGCAATAAAGCATAATTTAGGTACTCATTGAAAAAAGGGGGTGGAAATAAACAGTTTCCTGAAAATCTCTTGTCCATTTAATACACTATGTGGAGAATTTTTATAGTGAATGCTGGTGATTGTGGGTGTTTCACTCTGAAATATCACTCTGTATATTCCATAGTCTATACATATGAGAAGGTTGTAAATCAGACTGATCACCTGAATTCACTGAATGCCCTGTAAATTATAGAATTGACCAATTTATGCCAAGTTTGCAGCATAGATAGACAGCTTTCATAATAAACTGTTTGCATATAAACTTATGAAAAGTCCATTTCTGAAACCCCTATGCCAGTATTACATGATATAAACAATGCTAAAGGTCATTTGTATTCAAACTTCAGTTGTATAACATGCGTTTGAGCCTACTTAAACCTCTTGCTGCTGCTAATTTTATATGGTTACATTTTGTGTGCCAGAAAATAAGACAGTTGGACGTCTATGACATCACACGCCCAACAATGACGTCATTTCATATAAAATGACAAGCCCTAATGATGTTTGTGGACCCATTGAAGAAAAATGTTGCACTGTTTAATCTTCAGTATTTTATTTGAAAGAGATACAACAATGATTAGAAGTGTGTATAATTTAACATATGGACATATGTGTCCCTCCGTCACAGCCGTTGTGGACACATGTGTCCTTCAGGCAGCAAGAGGGTAAAAAAAGTTGTTTGTTTGCCCCAGATGAAGATAATGAGAATCCTAGAGAATAGGGTTTCACTCTTTTTTCTTTTTTTAAATTGATAAATCTTTTTTTTTTATATATTTTTTCTCTGTAATAAAACGCTATCTCTTAGCAGCCCAGGAAAGCAGACTAAGAGAGCTTTAGTTTTTCAGTCTTAATTTTACCTCTATATATAAGATCTTATCTTAAGTTATCAAAAAACAAATTTTGGCCTCCAGAAACCACTATAGCTCGAGTGGATTGTGTTTTTTCAACCTGCCCACCATGGAATGGTAACTCATGTCTACACAAAATTAACATAATTGATATTTAGTAAAAATACTGAAAACAATAGCTTTTCTTATTTTGTAAAAGGTATTTTCATTCAAGTCTTATTATTTAAGAAGAGAAATGGCATATCCACTCAAAGGGATAGAAATAGAAGACATCTAAAAGTTTTCCACATTGCCATCGAGACATGTGTAAACTGCAAAATCCCTGTGAGGTGTAGTGTACTTTCATACTCCTCCAATAATCATTTGTAATGCTAAAAATAGTTGTTTGGGTTGTGATTATTGTTGTCCCGGCTTGTGACACAGGTGACGCTAAATGTTTATCAGTAAGAGTGTGCTCCTGTGATATTAAGGTCATACAGAATTCACCGACAAACATTCTTCTGTCGACCTTGGATGCTATATATATTGTCATTTGAAGGTCACACTAGAGTGAGAAATTATGTATGTTGTTACTGACCATTTCCAAGGTCGATTAACAATATTTTAATGGTAAATTTTTCAATGGAAATATAAAAAAAAATATGTGAAAATGCAAGTGGATAGAAATATCCTTATTACTAGGGAATCAAGTAGGGATAGAGAGAAAATGAAAATGCTGCAAATGTTTTAAGGTTTCATTTATGGTATTGGAGAAAGTTCTTGAATAAAATATTTGGATAAGGGAAAGTGTTCATAGATTTGACCTTTCAGGGTAATAAATATGGAATTTTCTTTTGGGTCATTTTTGGAAGATTTTACAAGAAAAATCTTATCATAAGGGAATCAAAATTCATGGGGTGAGTTGAAAATGTTTGATTTTGCAGTTATTCTTCTAATAAATAGGTCATTTTACCAGGCCCTAAAGGTGTTAAAGATCAAATCTTTGAGTTTAGTCAAACAAGATTTTTAATATGTTGTTTGTAGCAACAATCAAATGTTGTTTATATAAAAGATTTTTTATTATCTTTTACTGGATTTTTCAAGGAAAACAGTTATTTTGGCCAGTGTTTATTTTCACAGTTATGTGACATTTATAACATAATCAGTTGAACGTTATTTTTTGGACTTTTTGATGTTTTCAGAAAACAGCTTTGTGTGAATAGAACAAATTTAACAGTTTGAGAGATAAAATAAGATATGTATAAAAAAAAACTCTTCTCGTTAAGGTCATGTTTTAATGTTTTCATTGGTTTTCTTTCTTCCTGAAATTATAAGGTCAAAAAATTTACGTTCCTTTGAATTTCATTTAACCCCTCTTTTTTTTAGACTTGAAAATCAGTGCACTTGCTATTGCTATGTCTGTTATATTTTCAACAAAAGTCAAGTAAGTAGCTAAACTCTTCAGAATTTGACTGAGAAAGAGTAGTGAAACTCTGTTTGTGTAATAATATTTTAAATAGTATCAATTATTTACTGGACTAGATGTACATTACAACAATTAGTGTCTCAAGGCCGAAATATTTGATAATCCAAAACCTGATTAAGTTGAAGAGCTGATGAAAAAAAACTAAGTAAAGCCAAACTTAGATATGGGTGAATAATAAGATGACACATCCAGTATATATCTGAAATCTTAAACATCACTGTTTTATTTTCTAGAATTTTTATCCTGTTATACCTTTTTATATGACCACAAAATTTTTTGCATCTGTATGATTTTATGGCGATGTCTGCGTCTGAAGACATTTTGGTTCGTAGACAATAACTTGTGTATAAGTGTATGGATAACTATGAAATTTTAGCACAAGGTTCCATACCACTAAAGGATAGTTGGGATTGTTTTTGGGGGATACTGTCCTAGCGGTTTTGTAATTAGGGGACAAAAAGAGTCAGTTTTACTGGTTCATAGAAATTATTTCATTTATGTATTGTTTAAACCCAAAGGATATTGATCATAAGCATTGATAAGCATTTAGACTACATCAAATAAACAAGTTTATATATTTTATGTATATAATTTGATAAGTTCTAAATTGTCCCAAGTCTAGAAATGTGGTGAAATAATTTAACAATGTTATAAATGATCATCCATTAACACCAGTTCCTTAAAAGATGAGAAACTTTCTGATACCACAACATATTACAGTTGTTAACACTAGCTACATGATTCTTTAAAAACTCCTTTCAGCCTTCATGATTAACAACTAGTCAACCACAACACTAGCTGCGGAACCGTAGCTCTTAGGACCTTATGATATTTTTTGACAATTTACGAAGCCATAGACCAGACCATTTATGGTCCGCAAATTGTCAAAAATATCACAAGGACTTAAGTGCTACGGTTCTGCAGCTACCACAAGACCTACTGCAAAGGCCAATAAAAATGTTGCATGACCAGTAAAATTTTCTGTAAAGATGCCTCACAAGCCATAAAGATTTAAAGAAATTTGATTACCAACAAATTATTTATTGGGCTTATAAGTCAAACAGATTTTTGTAAAGACTGTTGTCTTTTGCATTGATAAGTCACAGCTAGTAATTGATAAAAAAAAATTCACTTTTTCCACTTTTTGTTTCTTTATAAAAAGGAATAAAAATATCTTTATAATAAGGTATAAAAATAGCTGATGTTTCAAAGAATTTTTTTTCCCGCATTTTCTCACAGAAAAAATTATCCAATAATATTGCATGTTACATTTTAATGAAATCTTCGTAGGAGAGCTGATTTCTGATAACGTTACTACACAACGTCTAATCTGTTCTGTTATCGACTCAAGTTGTGCTTTTATCTTGAGGAAAATAGAACATTTCTTGTATTTTCTATAAATGGAAGTTTGTCCCAACATGTCACTGATATCATATTTTATCAACAAGTTTGTTAGATATTAAACATTCCGAATTACTGTTTTATGCCTTGAAGGATGTCACCGTGCTATGGTGTTTTTGCATGGTAATTTAAATTTTGAATGATGTAATTTTTTGCAATCATTTCCGTAATTATAATATTTTTGTTCATTTATGCAATAATTAATATAAAATTCAGACTTTTGGTCTATTATTGAAATACTTGTGATGGCTGCCATTTGTGCCACTCAGTTAACCTCAGCTTATGAAATTATCATCTTTTAATTGCTATACCAAAGACAGGTTTTGTTTGGATCAGACTTTTTTGTATGAGGCTTAGAAACTGGGGTAGGGCGAGGTTTACTGAGCCCTTCAACTGTTTTGTGCCGAATTTTAAAAAAAGTTAATATTTTCTGACATTGACCTAATATTGTTTTTATACTGCAGCTGATAATGGCTACAATTACCTTTATGAAAATGTTAACATAAAAATGAAAACTAATTTCCATCCCTAAACGAACCCCAAATTGTGAAGAAAAGTATTGTGACATGAAATCAACATTGCACAAATATCACTTTGTTACTATATTTGGTAGATACCGACAACAGGAAGTGTTCTTGATGCAGTATAAGCAATAATAAATGCATAAGTTGTTTTGTTATAAATTAGGCTGTTAGTTTTCTCAGTTGAATTGTTTCATAATTTTCATGTCAGGGCCTTTTATCGCCGACTATACCGTATGGGTTTTTCTCATTGTTGAAGGATGTACGGTTGCCTATATATGCTTACATCCACTTCATTTGGAATTTGGTGGATAGTTGTCTCATTGGCAATCATACCACATCTTATTTTTATTTAAATTAATTTCTGAATTTTCTGTAGTTTAGAATACCTTTTTAGAGGTTCTGATGTTACTAGACTCTATCTGAATGAAATTAAGACAATTATTAGGGACTGGCCTAGATCCTTACATTGTGGAATATTGTGAAATTATTTATGTTTGCCTTGTACTTTTTCATTATTTTTACCCTTACATCTATATAAGAGCTAAAGAAATACTTCTTTGAAACATTACATTTATAAATACTGTTACATAACATATTAGAAGCCCAGAGAAATTATTCATAATGAAAATTCTATAACTAACAAAAAACATCCTAAATTGAATGCCTAGAAAATCAATACTAATATGTAATCAGTACCAACCAAGACTCTCACTGATAATATTTATATATTGACATTCAAAATGACGATACCAGAACTCTATAAGTAATATGCACCTACAGGAACAAATACTAGACCCTAGCTACTTATATTTGTGAAACTAAAATCCATAGGATCACAATAGTCTGAATAGACCATCACTGAGAATACTAGAGTAACTTGAGCAAAGCTCACTAATTAATACCCTCAATTCCCCATAAATTTGCATAGATATGGCAAAGTCCATGTTTTGTTGTGGGGAATCCCTAAAAATCTTTCATAAAAAAATGAAAAAATAAAATAAAAATGGCGATGCATAGTGTGAGCAGACATACAAATTGACAAACAAACAGAATAAAACAATAATTTTACAACTTTGCTTCAGTAAGTAAGAGTATTACACATATATTTATATGACCAGAATACACCATCAGTACTAGTAAAAGAAGAAAAATAATCTTATGGGAAAAATTCAGACCCTCACAAATAATATTTTTCAAATGATATCCTTTAGACCCTTTCTACATGTAATTATATAAGGACAAATGTAGACCTTCTCTGACAGCAGATAAGAGCCTCATTAGTAATAAAGCAAACAATCCATTAGACAAGACTAGACCCTCATTTAACTGTTAACAATATCCAGGGTACTAGATTAGACCCTCGCTGATGTTAGTCATCATGGAGGGTAAATTTCACTTCAGAACATGAAGCTATAGCCAGACAAGAGTAAATAAAAATCTCAATTGAAGGACAAATTTATCAAGTTTGTAGTGACAAGTTTAAGCTCCTTTCAATATTTGTTTAAGTTTTTTAAATCTCAGTGCATTTTACACAAAAATTACCTGCCTTTTTTAAACAAGATAAAAATATATTAGACATTATCAGCTTTGAATTGTTACACATGGGAATTTGTATAGTTCATTTTAGGTGAAGGATAAGACTTTTTTAGACAATTGTTCTGACAAGAAAGTTGGTACACTTCTATGACTCTTCTTGGAGGAGCAGTTATTCAACATGCTCTTAGATTTAATCGTTTTTGGCAGTTCTAAAATTATATTATCGGCTATATCTAATGAAAATATCAATTAATTTATGGAGATGACAAACTCATTTAAAAACAAATCTTTGTTGATTCCAAGTAAACCATATCACAGATTTACTCAGTTTCATCTGAAAGTGACATCTTGCATACCTTCTGAGCATACCTTATTTCAATTTCAATTCCATCAATTTCCAGACAAAAAAAAATTCCTCTTGGAGCATTAGTTCTAAAAGTCAGAAATATTTGTAAATTGAAAAATTTCAAATGGGACCAATATTTCCTTTTTTTCATTTTCTCCAAAATAAATCTCCCAAATGATCAATAATTTTATATTTGCTCTTTAGTAGCAGAAAAATGTATAGTATATATGTAGTATATGTAGTATATATGTCTCTGTTGGTATTAATAGAAAATTCAACAACTTGTTTCAAAATATACCCCACACACTTTATTCAAATCATGATTTCCAAAAAATATAAAAGGTCACAGTTGGAATTTTATAAAGGTAAAGAAATATTAAAAGTCAGCAATTTTCATACAACGGATTCCCTCTAGTCACAGGTAGACAAACATTGTAACCTTTAAATTAACCAATTATATTTGGTGTTACAGTGATAATGTAATCAAGGTCTGACCTATTTATCTGATATTATTTGATCATGCTGTTTATTAGTTGGGGTTAGACCATGCCAGCATGCATACATCCAATCTCAGATTAACTTGTAGATCAAAGCCTTGGTGATGTTATTGTTGTTTTGGTCTACAGGTGTCTGTTAAGTATCCAATGGCCACACTGATTGTGGTTAGACCATGTCTGTATGTATCCAGCCAATCTCAGGCTAACTTGTACATCAACGACTTGATGATGTTATTGTTGTTTTGGTCTACAGGTGTCTGTTTAGTATCATGTGGTCACACTGATTGTGGTTAGACCGTCTGTATGCATCCAGCCAATCTCAGGCTAACTTGTACATCAAAGCCTTGATGATGTTATTGTTGTTTTGGTCTACAGGTGTCTGTTTAGTATCATGTGATCACACTGACTGTGGTTAGACCATGTCTGTATGCATCCAGCCAATCTCAGGCTTACTTGTACATCAAAGCCTTGATGATGTTATTTTATCACTTTTAGTATTCATAGCAACTTGATATATACCTAAAATAGTCTGTTGAACTTCATAGATAAAATGATAATAGGTACTTTTGAAAATGCAAATTGTCATTGAATTATGCTTTAGTCATTTTTAGCCCCTGCAAATCTTTACCAAAATCAGGCATTGCATACATGTGTTGTCCGTCAGAACCAAGTGGATTGAACACCAAAGGGAAGCAAAAGTCAAGCATACAGGCACATGCTTTGAGCTGAAACACTGAAAACCTTATAAAAATGCTTTCTTGTAACTGGTCTGATGTACTATCATTTCAGTATGAGCCTACTTCTTTGTCAAAATTAGTAATATTTTCAAGTATGAAATCCCAAAATAGATATATTTTTTTTAATTCCAGGGCCACGGGATGATTTGGACTTCAGTGATAGCATTAATATGCAGCATGAAATTAACAACCTTAGGAAGGAAAATCGTAGGTTACAGACCCAGTGTGATCAGCTGAAGGCTTTGTCAAAGGTAAGTTCAGAATCAGTGGAAGTCATTGGCTAATAGCTTTGTCAAAGGTGAGTTTAGAATCAGTGGAAGTCATTGGCTAATAGCTTTGTCAAATATGAGTTCAGAATCAGTGGAAGTCATAGGCTAATAGCTTTGTCAAAGGTGAGTTTTGAATCAGTGGAAGTCATTGGCTAATAGCTTTGTCAAATATGAGTTCAGAATCAGTGGAACTCATTTGCTAATAGCTTTGTCAAAGATGAGTTTAGAATCAGTGGAACTCATCGGCTAATAGCTTTGTCAAAGATGAGTTTCGAATCAGTGGAAGTCATTGGCTAATAGCTTTGTCAAAGATGAGTTTAGAATCAGTGTCATGAACTGAAGGATTGGTCTCAGGCAAGTTCAGTCAGTGATTTCAGAATCTGAATAATGAGGTTGAGACAGAGGTTCTTTATTGTTAAGAATAGATGTCATTGACTGCCTGAAGAAATTTGTTAAAGGTTAGTTCAGAGTCATTTTGATTTGATGAAAGCTTTATTTAAGGGGATTTCAGAATCAGTACCATGAGATTGAGGCTATGTCAAAGATTAGTTCAGAATCAGACCTAGTGTCTTAAACTTGAGGCTTTATCTGTAGTGAGTTTTAAATCAGTGTAATTATCAACAGGTTTTCTTCAAGATGAGCTCAGAATCAATGATATCACTAAATCTTATCCATTAAAAATTTCTTGGAGAGAAAATTCATTAGTGTGGTGAGCTGAAATTTCATCAAATGTGAGATAGTAATATTAAATATTGGATCCCTTACAAGATGTAGAAATGTCACATGAGATCCACTATCAAGATGTAGATATACCACATGGGACTCCTTACAAGATGTAGAAATGCCACATAGGATCCTCAACGAGATATAGATATACCACATGGGATCCTTGTCATGATGTCGAAATGCAACATGGAACCCCTTACAAGATGTAAAAATGCCACATGGGATTCCTTACAAGATGTAGAAGTGCCACATGGGATCCCTTACAAGATGTAGAAATGCCACATGGGATCCCTAACAAGATGTAGAAATGCCACATGGGATCCCTTACAAGATTTAGAAATGCCACATGGGATCCCTAACAAGATGTAGAAATACCACATGGGATCCCTAACAAGATGTAGAAATGCCACATGGGATCCCTAACAAGATGTAGAAATGCCACGTGGGATTCCTTACAAGATTTAGAAATGCCACATGGGATCCCTAACAAGATGTAGAAATGCCACATGGGATCCCCAACAAGATGTAGAAATGCCACATGGGATCCCTTACAAGATGCAGAAGTGCCACATGGGATCCCTTACAAGATGTAGAATTGCCACATGGGATTCCTAACCAGATGTAGAAGTGCCACATGGGATCCCTTACAAGATGTAGAAGTGCCACATGGGATTCCTTACAAGATGTAGAAATGCCACATGGGATTCCTTACAAGATATAGAAGTGCCACATGGGATCCCTTACAAGATGTAGAAATGCCACATGGGATCCCTAACAAGATGTAGAAATGCCACATGGGATCCCTTACAAGATTTAGAAATGCCACATGGTATCCCTAACAAGATGTAGAAATGCCACGTGGGATTCCTTACAAGATGTAGAAATGCCACCTGGGACTCCTTACATTCTCTATTTTTTAGAAATGAAAATTTGATTTATTTAAAAAATGAAATAGTTGAGAAATTTTACATTCCAATATCTAATGTAATAAATTCCCCAAATGAACCCTACCATGATTTAACAAGAAAAAAACTTTAATTTTAAAAATAAAATCTAAGATTTTTACATATAGTTTAATTTAGCATGCTTGAAGAAAATTTACATTGCATTGTTAACTGTATTCAAGTTGTTTGAAATCCTATAGAATTGAAAATAGAATGTCCTTATTAAAAAGTTGTGAAATATTGTAGCGTTGAAAGGGTATTAGAAATGTTTAGATATTGTATTTTAACATTTACAAGCGGTGTAATATTGACACAAGACAGGAAATTGGTTGTCGTTTTATTCTTTGTTGAATTTGACCAAAAACTTGTGTGATATTAATATAGCTACCTGTATTTTACCTGTGTAAGGACAAATCTATTCAAACTTTTATTACTCAATCTTTTTAACTGATCACATCGTTTCAAGTGGGTTTTTTGTTTATTTAATTGTTTTATGTTCAGTATGTCAGCGTCGGATAGGATGTCTTAACTGTGAAATACTATTCTGGTTTTATAGAAATGGACATGTAAGTACTTATGTACTCTTATTCTAATTTCCTCAAATAATTTCAAGCACATGTTTAAATCTTAAAAAAGTATGACTAGACTTTTTTTGGTTTAACTTTTTTTTTCAGTGATAAAAATATATAATATGTATTGCCTACATGTGTTTGTATATTTTTATCTCGTGGCCGTGTAGTCCTACATTTACTGTCAGGTTGAAAGCGCAATATGTTAGAAACATTTGAATATAATTTAAAACCACACCCAAATGATAATCCAATTAAAATGTCATTTTATTATTGATTCGTACATTACATCACAATCTTATTCAGTTTTGAAAACTGGCTGAAAATTTTTGTGAACATGTACCTGTAAACACCTGCCATTATCTACCTTTATATTTCACCTGTTAATTAAGTAAGTTTAGATGATATTTGTAATCCCTACATTTAAAATAGTCATGACAGTTGGGCCCTTATCTGTGGTTAGATAGGTTGGTTTCTAAGAAGGCCATTGCTGATAAGACCAGCTAAAGTAACTGTTGTCAATTGTTTATCATTAGCGTTACTTAGGACGGGAGGAATTCTACTGTACATGTTATCAGCTCGGCTTTAATCTGCTCGGTGGTAAGACGGTACCATTGCTCTAGCTGGTACGAGATAAGCTAGGTCAGTAGAGGCCAGCTTTCCCAGGATGTTAGTTGCTGACTCACGGGATCTATTTCTCTCTCCGTAATTCTGATACGCCATGAATTGGACTCGGTGCTAGGTACGTACAGTTTGCTTTTTAAAGTGATATGTCTTGTTGGTTCATTTTCTTGTCAGATTTGAAGGGAAGCGTCTGCATATGGTATATTTTAACATTTACATAATATCCATGCCAATAAATCAGTAGTTACTTAATTTTTGTAATACATGATGTTTTTTAAAGTACAAATGTTTTCTTCCAAACGTTCCTATTTTCTTTTCCTTTTTATTTTTAGGTTGTTTTGTGAAAAGCTCTGGTTTCTAAATTAAAATTTTCCAAGTCTAAAAAAAAAATGTCTCAAAATTTTCCATTTCTTAACATGCATCATAAAATATCATATCGAGAGCTAGCCATATTTTACAGTTAACTTTTAAGTGTAGATAGTGTAAAACAAATGATAAATTGGTTCATCCAGAGTTTTTGCAAATGTGTATAGCTTGTCATGTTTATTATAAGTTATGTAAAGAAAATCGCAAACTTAGCGCAAATTTAAATGAATAAAAGCGGACTTGTCAATGTTATCATTTGAATATAACAGTACAGGAAATGCGTTTTAAGTTAATTTAAATAAATTATGTGAGAAATAGTACTAAAAAGTTGGATTTTAAACTTCTATCAGATTTTATGTACTTTATAGTTGTTATATGAGAGAAGTTTTTTCTCACCATTTTTTTTTTAATTGTCTGGATATCTGATCCATAGTTTTGAATTAGCAGGAAAAAGATAAGTTTGAAAACCCCCCAAAAAAATCTAATCTTTGAATTTAAAATCCTTTAAGTCATATAAAAGAATAAGAAACTAAGTTTAATTGGACATATATTATCAGCTTTCTGAAAACAGATTTTTTGAATTCAATTGATAGGCCATAATGACCTCTAATGTAAAAAAAACTCTGGTAATATTTTGACCTTTAAAGATCTAGACCTTTTAGTTTGAACAATAGATGAGGAAGTTTTATATAAATGAGGAAGAACTTTGATCCACATTCCCGAAAACTTAATACCTTTAAGTTAGTTTTCATTTATATGGAAAAAGTTATATGAGTTTAAAGCTCCGGTTTTTAACAGTTTAAGAATATTTCATTACAATTGTTAAATATAGAGTTACTTTAAGTCACATGTGGATCTATGATTTAAATTACAATGTGTGGATACCTGAGAATTGCGGGTTTTTTAATTTAAAAAAATCATTTACTTTTATTAATTGGTCAATTTGAAGAGGGATACTTGCTCCCCACAACCCCCTTTTAATCTGCACATGAAAATTAGTCATTTCTTATGTCAAGTCCCAAACTGATTACAAATTTTCTTTCACCTTTTGTGGTAGAGATATAGGTATTTGTTTTCAGATAAGAGCTAAGTATTATGTGACTCTGTGCAAAATAATCCAATAGTCAGCAAAATTTGAATCGAAGGTTTTCTTCCTGAAAAAAGGTTTTCATTTAAATTACTTGATGTTAAAGACTAAGAATAGATCTATATGTTGATAAAGGACTAAAGACTAAGGTAAAAGCTGTTATAATTTTTCAGTAACTAAAACCTGGCAGGTATTGATGTATTTCTCTTTATGTCTGATTTTATTTTATTGAATTGATAATGAAAAGGCAGGTTCTATGAATATGTAACATGTAGAAATGTCCCTAACAACCCTATGTACTGTGTCAATATACAGAGTGAATTACGACAAGACGTGCTTCAATGCACAATAAAAGGCTCGGTAATGAAGGAAGTACTGCACCCTGTCTCAGGTAAAACTGTCTACAAAGCAACCCCCCATTTACCTAACTGTAAAGGTAGGTGTGGCAATCAGGGCTTATCTGTACTACAGGTAAATTTAAATTTGAATGTGAATTTGAATTTGAATTTGAATTTGAATTTAAAAGTTTCATGGACTGAATGACATTGCTTGTTAAAATGAAAGTAGACCTTTTATCATGTAAGATATGTCATAAAAATGCATGTCTACATGTAAATTGATATGACGCATGTCAATAAGTGGTATCTTAAATTTAGTTCAGACTGGATCATACATTTATAACTTGTTTCTTGTCTATTAATAGTTGTCATTTAAGTCATCAAACAGCAGTAGAAGACATTTACTTTCCCGAGGCCAAATCTCTATAATTTTAAGATTCTCATTCTTCACCATTTTACCTTTCTCATGAATGAAAAGAAATCCTGTGTCCTCTTTCTGAACGATACAGAACATTGAAGTATTTTGCTAGCCAAATTGTTTCAGTACTTCCCAACTTCTCAAAATCTCCATGAGGGATTTTCAGCACAAGAGCCCCTAATGCATATTTCATACATCTCATATGTGTTTTAATCAAATATATTATTGTAAAAATGATAATATATATTCTTTAATGCCAATTTAAATTCCTTGAACGTCTGTTTTGAGGTATCCAGTTTATAAAATGGGGGATTTCAAGAGTCATGTCAATCCCTTCATGGGGAGGTACACAATAACCTGAGAAAGTTGACACAGAAAAGTATGTTTTTCAAGATTTTGTAATAGAATCATACATACATACATATATGAACCTCTGTATGCCTTTTTTTTTTGTCATTGGGTTGCTGTTTCTTCGATGTATTACTTATACATGTATCTCCTTTTATTGGTACAGATAATTTATTTATGCCCAGATGATTTTATGACCAGGACAAAAACTTTCATATCTACTTTTATATATCAGATAATTTACTCTCTGATCGAGATAAAAACATTAAAGTCTTAATCTTCTTATATATCTGATCAAATTAGAATTACATTTACCTTACTTTTATCCTTTTTTTTTCTTTGGTGCAGTTATGTCATTGTATAAAGCATTGCAAATTTTAAATTTTAGTGTATAGAATTTATTTTAAGGTTTAAAATTTATGTTTTCTTTTTCATGTCTATCTAATCTTATGTGGAGGAATTATTTGTTAAAAAAAAATGAATATAAATTGGATATCAAGAATGTTAATACTGTATATTGTAACTTATTTTCACCAAGGATTTGTATAGTTATCTCACTATACAAATCCTTGTTTTCACTGAAACTTTCTTGGTTTTAGCCATTTCCAGCCATTTGCCATTATTTAAGGGGTTTTTTTTATACTTTGTTGGTGTATCAGATTTATTTTTTTACTTTGTTGGCATACTCATATTTAAAAAAATAAATTTTTGACATTTTCAAAACTATTTATATTACTGTTATTTTGCTACTTGTGAAAGTGACGAAAGTAAATTGCTCGTGAATATACATGTTAGTTTACAGTGTTTGTTCTGTGGACAGGAAAATGAGTATCGTACGGAGATTACAGTATTCTGTGAATGTGGCGGAGTGAAACATATTCCTCCCCCTAACCTGAGACAGTTATGTAACAACATGACATGAGAACAAACTTTAAATACAATTTAGAAAAGCCTTGACTCATCAGATGGGCACTAAGCAAAAAAACAAACATTTGGTTTGATTAACTCAGGATTTGAATAAGCTGACTTTCACATTCTATTCAGATGATCTGTAATTGGTTATAAAAAGTTGGAGGGTAAATAGACTGTTCTATAAAACATGAGGTAAATAGACTGTTCTATAAAACATTGAAAAGAAATCAATGTCTTGAAATTTAACCTATCCATGGAAATTAATACTTGTCAATTTCTTGCACATGAGTGTTCTATATTTTGACCCACCGCATGATTAGTTTTAAGTGCTAGTGATTTTTTGAGCAGTAAAACATAGTTTGTTCTGATTTTTGTCGACGACCACATTTGTACTTTAAGTGTTAGTGATATTTGAGCAGTAAAACCTGGTTTGTTCTGATTTTTATCCACCACATTTGTACTTTAAGTGTTAGTGATATTTGAGCAGTAAAACCTGGTTTGTTCTGATTTTTATCCACTGCATGTTTTTCCTTTCAGTCAAGTGGTAATGTTTCAACAGACAATAAACATCAAAAGGAAATAGAAGATTTACAAAAGAAATTAAAGGTAACATTTAATGATTTGAAATGATGATTTATACTATACTAAAGTTTGTCACTAAGATGAGTACAATATAGTTCAGTAAATAATTTCGTACAAGGAAAACTAGCAAAATGCAAAATGTTGTTTTATCTAAATTTGACATGCTTTATCTCAATTAAAGCTGAATTTAATTAAAAAAGAAATCAATTTCTCACTTTTTTATAATGATAATAGGTGACAAAATTTCTCCACATATACATTTTGATTAAAAATTGATGTCTTTATTCAATACACATAAACTCAAAAGGAGTGCTGAAGTTCTTGAGGTACAAGGCAAAAATGAAAATATGAAAAGTACAGAGGACAATAAGCTATACAGAAAATGAATATGAAATAGACAACACATCATAACACAAGGGTTATATTTAATAAATCATTTTTTTTTTTATGTAGGAAGTAAGTCAACAGTTGGAAACAGAAAATGAAAACCATCAACATGAAGTCGCTTCATTACAAGATGTCCACCGTCAAAAAGCTTCCATACTTAGGAAAAAGTTCAAAGATGAAATTACACAGTATAAACAGAAAATCAATGAATTGGAAGGTGAGTTCTTTCCCATAATGCATCACTTCAAAAGGAAAATTTCAGTGCCGATATTGCAGCATGTAAACTATGAATCAATGAATTCAACATGAAATCCTGTCCCTTAATGAGTCACTTCAGGGAAATTTTCAAAGGTAATTTTAAAGAAAATAAACTGACAACGATAAAATTTGATAAAATTTTAAGGAAACGTTTCCTACAAAATACATCAATGTTTATTGAAGTAAATATATGATGTAATAGTAATGTACAGAGTCAGTGAATTTAAAATTGGGTAAAGTTCAAGGATGGAAATATAATGTGTACTTATTGTACTTTTCAATATTAGAGTCATGACATTTCAACACTGGAATAACAGAATATATAGGGTAAATGCCATGAAACAGACACAGGCCCCCAAAAATGGAACCCCCCCCCCCACAAAAAAAAAGTAGAATTTTTTTTTAAGCCAAAAAATCTCAATACATTAATTTTCATTGAAGTAAATATATGATGTAATTGTACTGTATACAGAATTAGTGAATTTTAGCTACATTTGTAAATTACAGCCATGTAAGGTCACCATTGGTCTTTACTTATGAACGAGTATCCAAACTTTATGGCAACAATTTAATCATCCTTAGTTTCAACAAGTAGTGAACAGTCCATAGCCAACAGAAACAATTAAAATCTGAATTCAACACTGATATATATATATATGTTTATCAAAATTATTTAGGTATATTACATGTTTCTTTTATTTAGATGTTTCTGGAAATGGGGACCAACAATATCTGGTTGTCAAAGAGTCAGCTGAATGGATGCAGGTAAATGGTTCTTCCTTTATTTTGATTATTATTATTCTATGTAAAGGGTCCACAATTGTGTGCAGGTGGGAGGTTGATATTGTGTAGGAATATTTCAACAACTTTCACAACAGAAGACCTATTTTAATTTTATATATATTTCCTATGCTATATAATTAATAAGTGAAAAGTGTATTTACCAAATATGCTTAAAAAAAACTTGTTACTGACTTTTGATGAGAGACAAAGAACTTGTAACAAAAAAATCACAAAACTCATGTCTGAATAAAGTGATATTTATTTGTATTGGTCACAGATTCATATCACATATTAGGTCAGAGGTCAGGGCTTCATCAAAGAATTAGTACCAGATTAAAGTATTTGAACTGGATCAAAATACAATTCAAACAAGAACAAGAACAGGAAAAAGTGTTGAATAAAATGTTTTAATTTATTTTCTTGTAGTTGGAAGAAAAGCTGAAATCATTGGAGCTTGACCACAACAAACTGAAGAGAGATCATGAGATTGTGTGCAAGGAGTTAAAGCATGCCAAAAACCAACTCCTGGATCAGCTAGACTCCAACCATGTACATATTGTTTTAGTTTTGTTCATTAGTAGGGAGGTGGGGTTGAGACTTGAATATAAACATCAGTTTCTATTTAGGGAATTAGAATGGGTGTGCATGAGACATGACCATATATTAAAGGAATAGGAATTGCTGATTTATATCGTAGCAGTTGTTAGAGTTGTCTTTCTTTTTAAGGTTGAATAATGCAAATTGCTAATACATATTGATAATAGATATGCCATAAGAAAATAAGAAAATTTTAAGAACATTCAGAAGTATTATTGAGAAATTTTAGGATATAATTGAAGATTTCAAGTGTCAATAACATTTCAGTTTGAAAAATTCTGAAAGAAATGTAAAAAATGTATCTATCAAAGGAAACCAAGGAGTATTAAAGGGGAATAACTCTTATTGAACGTCTAACTTTTAACCCGTGGAATTGTAGTGATGTAGACCAGTTCTGTTGTCATTTGACAAGTGTTGATTGTTGTATGAAAAGCATGTTGATACTAAGAATCTCTCAGTTATTTTCCCTTTATCAAGTACCTCACCCCTGCTTTCAAAAAGATTTAACATTAGCCTGGACTAAAGGGAGATAATTTGAATTATTCCTTATAGTAACTTGATCAAGGGAGGTAACTAATTGATTTTATCAATTGTCATCAGGTTGCTGTTACTGATGTCATTGTCTCCTTTAAACTTTTAATTTAAAAGATCTGTGTTCTTTTAAATAAAAATTTCTTCAGAAAAGACCACTTACTAAGGGATGTTCCAGAAAAGTCTGTGGGGGCACTATTCTATCATCCCCACTTCCAAAATAAATGTTTAGTAGATTATTTTCTGTCCACATAACTAGTATGATTTTTTTCTTTCTGAAAAGACTCTCACCTGTTTTTTAAAAATGGTTGATTCTGTTTAAAAAGAGAGAGGCGAAAGATACCAAATGGACATTCAAACTCAAGTCAAAAATAAACTGACAATGCCATGGCTAAAAAAGAAAAGACCAACAGTCAAACAATAGTACACAAGACACAACATAGAAAACTAAAGACAGAGCAACATGAACCCCACTAAAAACTGAGGGTGATCTCAGGTGCTCCGGAAGGATAAATTGTCACAATAGTTGTTTAAAAGTTGACAACTTTTGCAGTAAAAATTACTCAAATGGAAGTCAGATTTAATCAGTGCAAAGTCCTTTTAATCAGTTGTGTTAGTCACTTTGGTAATTTAGTTTTCAGCAAGTAAAATTTTTGTAAACAACTTCTGTAACATTGACAATCTACTAAGAATTTACCATATGTAAAAATAATTGATGAACAATTGAATGACCTTCTGTATATTTCCCATTCTTTAGTTTTCTCTGCATAATTATGTAAATTCTTGTTTCACTGTAGCTGTCTGCATGTAAATCATAATTTGTGGTTTCTTAAGACAAGCATGGTTTCTTCATTATGTTAAATTAAAGAGATAGATGTTTAAGACAAGCATGGTTTTCTTCATTGTGTTTATTTCAGAGAATGAATAGAAGTATTGTTTTCCTCACAGCAATTAACAAATGTGTTCCAAACTCCAACTAAAAGCATGACCTTGAAAGAATGATTTTATTTATTTTGGTGTAAAAAAAAAACATGTTACTCAATATCCAAGGTTCAGTTTTAAACAAGGAAGACTTCATTATTATTTCAATCACAATATTATATAAAGAAATATACATTTTAGTAAGCTCTATAATCCATTTTCATAGATTTTTTTACCTCTGAAGAGGAACCTGGAGACATAAACCATATAAGGTAATCTCCACCTAATATAGATGATGAAAGAATAAAACAGTAGTCATTGAGGATATATGCATCCAAAAGTCTATATATTTGTACATCTGCTCTCATCAAGTTTGGGCTTGTGAAGAGTCAATTATTACAAATTAAACTATGTAATTCCACAATCAAATGTTTAGGTCATGTCATGGCTTAAAAGATGAAAGCTTCAAGGCACCTCATAATTCCTTTCTTGCAAATTGCTTGGATATGAGGGATGTTGGAACCCTATTGAATTACATAGATCACAGTTTGGCTTTTGAGATTGATAAAGTCAGTAAGCTTTGCTTAGCTGCATTTTTACATCTAATCTTCATCAAATATTGTCCAATGCATGGCTAGCTTGAATCCTCTTTGATTCAATGTCTGAGGTCATGGATCAATGATCATAGTTAAGAAAAATGCTTGTAAGCACCAAACAATGTCATAAATCATCATGGCAGAGAGCTTGAATCCTATATGACACAAGGTCAGAAGCCAAAGGTTAAGGTCATAACATGAGCTCATAGTTAACCTCAGACTTATAATATTTCCAGCTGTAGCAGTTATGGATAATGGCACCTTTATAAAGTTATTAGAAAGGTCTAAAACATAAAAACTAACATATTTTGAGGGGAAGGGCCAGTCATTTGTTTAGCACAAAAAAAATATAAGACAAAATTAAGGAGAGAGAAGGACTAAATAATTTTTTTAAAAGTTATGAGCTGTAGACCTTGGAATTGAGTAACTAGGAACAAATTTCAGGCCCAATCTTTGGAGATACTCGGTGATCTACGAGAATTTCGTAGGAACATGGGATGTGAGATGATAAATCGTAGACAAAAACTGCTTGAGGAAAAACAGTACTTTGTTCAGCAAATCATAGACTCTGTTCAACAGGTTAGATATTTTATGTAGGTTCTTTTTAATTAATGAATATCAATTTTCATGGATATCTAAAAAGTTAGTGTTCCATTCATAATTTGTACTTTAATTCTGTTGGTATTTTGGTCTCTAAAAAACATGATATTTGAAAAATTAATATGTTATCTCCCATTAATGTTGGTTTATAAAAGTTGTCTCCCATGTATTCAGGTATGGAAGAGTTATCAACCAGGCTGATTTCTAACTCCTATGTAGGATGATTTCTGAAAGTTATCTCCCATATAGACTGATTTCCAAGAGTTGTTTCCCATTTTGACTGATATCTCATACAATCTGATTTCTAAGAGTTATCTTCTATATAGACTGATTTCTCAGAATTATCTGCAATATAGAATGATTTCCAAGAGTTGTTTCCCATTTTGACTGATTTCTCATACAATCTGATTTCTAAGAGTTATCTTCCATATAGACTGATTTCTCAGAATTATCTCCAATGTAGACTGATTTCTCATGTAGACTATTTCTCATGTAAACTATTTCTATGTAGACTATTTCTATCATGTACAGTTAATTATTCTTTAAAACTTGAACCTGTCAAATCCAAACAAAATGTTCAGTCCCCATAGGTGTCTTTGTAAATATCGCAGTATTTTTTATATGCGTATTGTTTTATGAAATAGAAGGTACACAATTTTTCCCCCAAGAAACTGTACAGACAGTACCCCTTCCAAAGAGAGATAACTCATGTAAAACTATACAAAAGCCTTTAAGGGAAAGTAAATGTTTGAATTGAGTGTTATTTGTATATATACCTATTCATAGATAGCAGTTTATCTTCATAAACTGCAAAATTAACCGAGTGTCAGAAGTGAACATTGTGGATGATAAGAGTGATTTGTTCCACAATAAATTTCTAGTCTGAAAATTATTGTCAAATAATCTTATAAATATTTTTTTCCTTTTACAGCAGCAAGAATTAAAAACTGAAATAAATGACTTGGAGGGTGAACAAGACCGTGTGTTTTCTGAAGCAGATTCCATGGTAACAGATTTGGGGAAAACACAGCAACAGAATTCTACATCAGGTAATTAGACAAACACATAGGTGTAGTGTAGTAAGCTCCTAAAATGAACTAAGTTTAGAATCGGACATTTAACTTGGTCAATTGTAAATAGTTAAATATTTTTTATATTTATAAGTTTCCATATAAAGGATTACATTGTGGAAATTTTAATTTTATTAGACTTAGACTATGAAGTTTCTATATAGTTGCAGTGGTATTAAAACAAGTTTCAATTTTTCAGCATTTTTGGACAGTATTGAGAAGGAGAATCTGTTATTAAAGAAGAAAAACTTAGAACTCCAAGAACAACTCATTATATTAGAAAAGTCAGTTCATACTTTGACTGAGGAAAAGAATATTGGTAAGTTTTTTTTTCTTACTCTATGTAAAAGTCACATGGTATATTTGTTAGACGAGTAAACATGCTTTTCAGTTGTACTGTTACAGTTAAAATCATACTTTAATGAGATCAGGTTAATCATAAACACATGATTAGGACATAGTGTTTTGACTTTTTCGCTGAAAACAAGTTGATCTTACATTTGGTTTAACCTGATAGACAAAAATACAAATAGTGCATGGCCTTACAAAATCATTATGCCTTGTGTAATCAGTATTATTTTTTTATCCATCTGATTTTTGGGGTCCCCATAGCAAGCAAAATCTTTGCTATATCTATGCAAATGAATAAAACAAGGTATTGTTATTCCAATGAAAAAAAATATTTTGAGGATATTGTTGAAATTTAATCTTAAACTGGATTGGACCTTAAAAGGGTTATTTGTAAATAAACAATTACCGTAAGTGTTTGAAAAAAAAAGTAATTTGGACCCTTCCCATCTCATTATTTAGAAAGTATTATTTTTTTCAATCAAATATTTAAATCTTTTATAGGCAGCAATAATGAAACAGAACAGGAACAAATCCAACAGTTTGATGCTATCAAGGCTGACCTTGAGTCAGAGAAAGAGGCCCTAGAAGGGGTGTTGATGGAATTAAGGAGCCAGTTAAAAGAGAGAGCAGCTGATGTGGAAGAAGTTGAAGCTAAATGGATGAAGCAGGAATCTGATTATCAGGTTCTTAAGCAACAGAAGGTGTGTATTGTTCTGTATTACACCACAAGTGCAAAATCTATCAAACTATACTTTACAAAAAGCGTTCATTTTGTACTTTTTTCCAATTTGTTTTTCACTACAAACAAAATTTTATATGGTTTTCATGGTTGACTCAAACTAAAAGCATTCATTTTGTACTTTTTTCCAATTTGTTTTTCACTACAAACAAAATTTTATATGGTTTTCATGGTTGACTCAAACTAAAAGCATTCATTTTGTACTTTTTTCCAATTTGTTTTTCACTACAAACAAAATTGTATATGGTTTTCATGGTTTACTCAAACTAAAAGCATTCATTTTGTACTTTTTTCCAATTTGTTTTTCACTTCAAACAAAATTTTATATGGTTTTCATGGTTGACTCAAACTAAAAGCATTCATTTTGTACTTTTTTCCAATTTGTTTTTCACTTCAAACAAAATTTTATATGGTTTTCATGGTTGACTCAAACTAAAAGCATTCATTTTGTACTTTTTTCCAATTTGTTTTTCACTACAAACAAAATTTTATATGGTTTTCATGGTTGACTCAAACTAAAAGCATTCATTTTGAACTTTTTTCCAATTTGTTTTTCACTTCAAACAAAATTTTATATGGTTTTCATGGTTGACTCAAACTAAAAGCATTCATTTTGTACTTTTTTCCAATTTGTTTTTCACTACAAACAAAATTTTATATGGTTTTCATGGTTGACTCAAACTAAAAGCATTCATTTTGTACTTTTTTCCAATTTGTTTTTCACTACAAACAAAATTTTATATGGTTTTCATGGTTGACTCAAACTAAATTCAAAACTAACCCAAACTATACTGATCTGAATCTCTAAATTAAAAAACTAATGAATAAAGTGATCCTTGACAATCTAAAAAAATCACAAGCCACAAATTGAATAATATTTTGTACTTCTGCAGTTCAAAACTGGAATTATAGTCAAACTCTATGAACAATTATAAACGTTATATTTTCTAATTTAAAACTTAACAAAAAATGAATTGTGATCAATAGTTTAGAGAGCTGTAAACATTTTTTCCATGATTTTTTGTGAAATATATCATTTGGGGAAAACAATATTAAAAGGGAAGTGAAAAGACCCTAGATGTATCATGTCCTTTATCTTTGATAATTTTTTTATTTTTTTTGTTGCAGGATAAGATGGAAGAATCCTTTAATGAGACCAAGATGGGTAAGGGATTCATCAGTAACCATTTTATATAGATATTGTTTATAATGAAGGTTCAAAGTATTTCCTGAAAATGTTTTATGAAATGCATAATATCATTTATTTTTGTTTTGAATAAATTAATTTTTTGTAAGCATTATAAGGTATCTATAGGGCCAAATGTTGTATTTGTGAAATTAGGTAAAATAAATGATTTTGATATTAACCATGAATATGCAAACTTACATCCACTTCATTTGAACTTTGGTGGATAGTTGTCTCATTGGCAATCATTCCACATCTCCTTACCTGCCAACTTTTTCAAAATCTCCATGGGGGATTTTAAGTGCAAGAGGGCCTAATGCTCCTCTTATATTATCATAAGTATTCTTAATCTACTACTATGTTTTTTGAATAAGTATATCTGTGCTTAAATACCACTTTAACTCAGTTGAATGTCTGTTTTGAGGTCTTCAGTTTATATAATAAAGAATTTCAAAATTCAGGTCAACACCACTCATGGGGGGTATCCCCAATAAATCGGGATAGTTGGCAGGTCTGTGTCTCCTTATTTATATTTTGAGTTCTGAACAGGATTTTTGATTCTAAGTTACTATAAATTACTGTTTGTGTCAGAGCAAATGACAGCTTTTCACAAGTGCAAGTTGATTTATTGATATTTTAATGGTATGTTTATCTTTATATACCTCTTACATGTAACTTATAAAAAAAAAAAAAAAAATTCGACTAAAACTTATTTTCCCAAATAGAAAAATATACAGTAGTTTGAATTTTATATATTTATAGAATTATCAAATACCGAGTTTATCATATCTTCACTGGAAATGGAAAAGGAAAATCTAGAAAAAACACTAAATGAATCTAACCTTGAAGGAGGTGATGATTCACAGAAACTGAAGGATGAACTGTTAAACAAATCTCAACTTATAGAGGAACTAGCTTCAGAAAAATCTGATCTGGAAACCAGTTTAGAGGAACTGGATGCCCAGCACCAGGAAGCAATGAATCAGGTTATCAGTCTACGTAATGACTTGTCTGGAAAAGTTGAAAACTTGCAGACAAAAGTAAAGGAACTATCAGATCTCAGGGATCAACTGATTGAAGAGAATAAATGTCAAAAAAAAGAATTATATGACCTTACTGGGGTAAAAGATCAACTGTCTGGGCAAGTTCATAGTCAGACTGAGGAGGTAGAAGACTTAAATAATATCAAGGGTCAACTGGAGGAACAAATTCTCAATCAGCAAGCCCAAATACTTGAACTGAAGGAAACAATGGAAAAACTGATGGCACAAATAGATGATAAGGAAAAAGAAAAGAATGATGAAGAGGAGAGTCTCAATAAACTGAAAATATCCATCGAGGAGAAAGACCAAAAAATTAAAGACTTAAGTTCAAGTTTACATACATTGCAGAAAGAAAATGCTGAGCTTATAAAATCTTTAGAAGATAAAAATAATGAATTAGCAGTTGAGGTGTCTTCTGTTGAAGGGTTGACTAGAGAAAGAGAAGAACTTACTAAAAGTTTAGATGACAAGGATAAATTAGTTTTATCTTTGGAGAGAAAGATGAAGGAAAAGGATGAAAATATAAGTAGTATAGAAGAAAAATATAATTTTGTTAATGAAAAACTTCAGCAGGGTTCCAAAGCTGAAACAAGTGATTTCTTACAACGAATAAGTGACTTACAAGATACTTTGACACAAAAAGAAGAACTGATAAGCCAGTTAAGCTCTGAAAGTCATAATTTTACTGCAGAAAAAGATAAACTTGAAAGAATGGTTAATAAATTAAAAGAGGAAAAGGAGGCTACTGATAAAAAATTGACAGAAATGAGAGAAAAGTTTAATAACGGTGCTATGACTATTAACAATCTACATATGGATGCCAAGGAAATGAAAGAAAAACTTGCTAAGGCTGATAGTGATATAAATGATAAAAGTCAGAAAATTAAACAAATAAGGGAAGATTATGAAGCTTGTACACAAACATTGTCAGATTTAAGGAATGAAAATAATTTGTTAAAACAAACTTTCGATGCAAGTAAGGATGATCAAGAAAAATTAAAATTATCTGAAGACATTGTTAAATTGAAATCTGATTTACAGGAAAAAAGTAACGAATTGGTAGCATTAATAGAAAAAAGTAATAAACTAGAAAAAATAGAGTCTGAATTTTTAGAATATAAGGAAGAGGCAGAAAAACAGATATCAGAACTGACTGCAAATGTATCTGGAAAAGATGAAGAGATTATTAACTTTAGAGAAGATATTGCCATTCTAAAAGTAGAATTAGAGGATAAAGTAGAGTTTTTAATGACAGAAAATTTATCTTTGGAAAATAAGGTTAAGCATTTAAATGAAGCGATTGATGGAAAAGTTCAGTATTATGAAACTTTGATAAAAGATTTAAAGAGTGGTGGTGAAGTTAGTGTATCAATAACGGAGGAAATCAAAACTCTTACAAAACTAAATAAAGAAAAAGATTCTGTGATAAAAAATTTGACTGATGAAATTGATCATTTAGGGTCTATAAGTGAAGCTGAAACTTTGACAACATGTGATTCTTTTGATTTTGTTGCTAAAGAACAAACAATATCTGATTTAAGGGAAGATATCTCTTCTTTATCAGCTGAAAATGAACTCTGTCAGTCAAAAATACAAGAACAGATGGTTCTTATTGAAGAACTTAAACAAAATGATGAAAAGTTAAAATTAGATAGCCGAAATTTATCATCGAAACTAGATAATAGATCATCAGAACATAACGTAGCAACGGAAACTATTTCTCGGTTACAAAATGAGATTGAATTACTACGAGGTACAATTCAGGACCAAAAGACAGGTATAACAGAGTTGAATGACAAATGTCAAGATCAATTACATTTATTGAAGGAAAGAGAAAGTCAGCTGACTAATGAAGAAGGTATCTTGGTCCTCCTACGTCAGTCAGTGATCGAAAAAGATCAACAGATTGAATTCCTCGGTAAACAAATGATAAAGGCCACTTTATTGATCCCTGAGGAAAGACGGAGACTACTGGAGGAAGATGATGTTCCTGATTATTCTCTCCTGGCGCTGGAATATCCAGAGAAGAAGGCAATAGAAGACGTGGAGAAAGGGACTTTAGAACAGGGAGAGAAAGAGGAAGTTTGTGAGGAGATGATGAGAAAATCTGCTTCTCAAGAAGAAACTGGAAGAGATTTTGAAGAAAGTGAATCAAGAAATGTTATCGAAGAAATGGAAAAGTTACAAAGTTTGATAAAACAAAAAGATGATGTTATTAACGATCTGCAGAGTAATAATGCTTCTTTATTAAAGATGTTCGAGTCTAAATCTGTCTCAACAAACGATAAGGCTGTTGTGGATATTCATAGGTTGGAAAATGAAATACGGAGTTTAAAGTTGGAACGGGAACAAATAATGGCGGTGATGAACGAGAAATCTAGAGAAGCAAGCACTTTAAAATCTGAGGTTCATAGGTTAATGAATGTTGTTGCAGCTGAGAAAAGTGCAATAGACAAGCTTCAGAAAGACATGATACAGGGTCCAGATGTGAATGAGGATAAAGATGATATGCATAAACAAGCTCTTCAGAATTTGTCTCGTCTGATACGTGATAAGGATCTAGAAGTCGAATCATTGAAACAGAAAAATGAAACATTGTTAACTGTCTTACAGGAATCATCATCCAGTGGGACAGAACTCAGTACATTAATGCAAGATAAAGATAACTTAGCTAGGCAGCTCAAAGTTTTACAAGACGAGCGAGATCAGATGGTTCTGTTTGTAAATCAGAAACACGAAGAAAGTTTAAAATATCACCAAGAAGTTCAAAGGTTGACCCTATATATAAACACTGAAATGGAAAAACATAGTAAGATACAACAAGAGTATGCTAACTTGGCTCCTCAGTTCGAGGATAAGCAGCAAGCATTGCTGAAGGCTCAGAATGAACTAATAAATTATAGGCAAAAGTATACCGAATTAGAAGTCAAATATGGAGAAATGGTACAAAAAGTCAATACTTCAGGTACCGTTGATGTCTCATCTTATAACACACAGACTGACGAACTCAAACGTACTCAGGAAAAATTAAAAGAATTGAATGAAAGTTTACGTGAAACTGAACAGAAAGTAACAACACTTCATCAACAGAATGTGGAATACGAGGAGGTGATAGTTAAACGTGATGCAGAACTTCATAGCATGAGGAAACAGGTCGATACTCTAACATTCCAATTACAAGGAGCTGAGGGAGAGTTGTCAGATTTGAAACAGGAACACAGTAAGTCAGAGAAGGAAACATCTGATAATATATCACACATGCAGATGTTGAAGGAATCCAACAACAGACTGATGTTAGAGGTTCAAGAAAGGGAGTTTGAGATCAAAAGTTTACAGGAGAAGATGCAGACACTGACCTCTGTTGTCCATGGGCAGAAAGATGAGGAAGGACAACTCAATAAGTTATTACAGGAGAATGAATCAGTGATGGCACAAGTCAAAGAACTACAACATGAAAGACATCAGACCATCATGGCTCTGAAACAAAGGCAGATTGAGACACAGGAATTACAGAGAGAGGTAAGGTATTGATTAAGGACATTGAAATTTGATGTAATGGATAGGAAACAAGAATGTGTCTTGGACTTCAAAATCTGAATAAAAGTAGATATTGGTAATACATCAATGACATATCAAGAACAAGACATCTAAAGAGCAGCATACAGTCTTAAACAATAGACAGGTGACCTATACAATACACATGTCAAGCTATTTATCTAAATCGTCTAAATTGTTCTGATTCTATTAAAGTTGTGAATAAATTTAACAGAAACAATCAAAGTTATTTATAAGACATAAGACAAAAGCAAATATTTAAATGAAATTCTAAAGTTAACCAGCTGGAATGAATATTGCTTTTTCCACCAATTAACTGTAAATAATTTGCAACAGCCGTTTTTGTTGTTTTATTGTGATACTTGCAAGTACAATACATTAAAAAGTAGAATGATATTATTATAATTAAAGGTGTGTCAAGAAACAGTTGGCGCATAGAAAAAAAAAGAGTAAAATTAACAAAAATACCGAACTCCAAGGAAAATTCAAAACAGAAAGTCCCTTATCAAATGGCAAAATCAAAAGCTCAAACACATCAATCGAATGGAAAACAACTGTCATATTCCTGACTTGGTACAGGCATTTCCTTATGTAGAAAATGGTGGATTAAACCTCTCACTTGTATGACAGTCGCATAAAATTCAATCAACTGGCAATTCTCATATGAGCTCAAATTAAACGTAAATGACCTTTGTGATGACCCTGGTGAAGCTTATATTTCATGAAGAGAGATTTTCATCATTCGCCATACTGAAAGGTCACTAGAATACCGATTGATTTCAAGTTAAGATATTAAAACAAAGGACAAAGAGTATGACCTACAAAATAATGAATTTGTTTGAATACAGACTGTACCGGAGATGAATGAAACTTTTGATTTGATTATTTCTTACAAAAGTGTAAATTGATATTTTACTTTTTATCCCTCGAACATTTCAGTGTCAGAAGTTGAAAGAAAAGGAAGTAAAATATGCTAAAGAGTTGGAGAGACTTAGAGGGCATCTTCTTCAGGTATGTAGTGTATAAATCTTCACGTTGATTAGGGGGGTCATTGAGGGGGAAATACATGTGTAATCTTCTTAATTGACTACAATGATGTCTTATTCAGGAAGTGTATCACAATCTTTATAAAAATAAGGAGATGAGGTATGATTGCCAATGAGAACTATCCATCAAAGTTTAAATAAAGTGGATGTAAGCAATTATAGGCAACCGTATTAATTTCAGAGATGGAAGGTTGAAATATGTGTGAAATCTGTGTAATAATAAATGGGTCATATATTTTTATTTATATCTGGCCAATGATAGAACACCAGTCTTTGTTAAAGATAAAACAGAGGTGTAGGAGAATACTGAAGAATGGGTGTGGGGCATGCCAAGCTGCTGAAAGTTATGAGCAAAAAAATAAAACATTATCTATAGTCTAGAAGTTAGTCAGTGTCCTCATTCATTTTAGTTTTTTTTTTCATTTTTAATAAACTTTTTTTGTCGAAGAGTTATTTTGCCCTTGCCCTCTCCTCACTGTCTGAAATGTTTTTAAGAAAGTTTTAATGCTTAATATGATTAATTTTTCACAGTTAACAATATCTGAAGCATCATCAATCATCATCAGATAAAGTTGATATTTATAATAGTGACAAAGGTGCTTAATTTTTTTTTTAGATGGAAGAAGCTTACACCAAAGATGCCTTGGAGTCTGAGGAGAGAGAGAAAGATTTACGTAATCGTTTGGCTTTAGCCGAGGAGAAAGTCTTATCTTCTACATCAGCTGTACAGTCAGCCAGGTAAAAGTAACCACCCATTAGATAGTCTATAAGTAATGCAAAAGCAGAAAAAAGGAATTATGATATGAATAAAAATGAAATAAGGTTATAGGTCAATGAGGCATTAACACAAGGATACAATAACCAAATAGTAGTTTGTCATTAAAAGTATTTAATAACCATTTAAACATTGTAGGGTATAAATATATTGTCTGAATTTTTTTTTGAAATGAAACTATTGTACCAACATGAATAAAATGAAATACAGGATAAATGCCAATGAGATAAAACCAAATAAATTGACATCTGGAAGGCATCTAGATTTCTTAAAATTACTAGTATTTGCATTGAACATCAGAAAATGATAAAAAAAAAAAAAATACACTCCTGCCCTGTCTGAAGGGGGTATCAGTCTAAGAATTATTTTTACATATTCATTTTTTATCATTATAGTCAGCTAGCTGTCCATCAAGTAGAGAGTTTACAACAACAACTACATACAGTAGCATCTCAGCGTGATCAGGCCTATCTACAACTGTCTTCTCTGCAGGATCAGTGTCAACAGTATGCTGTATCCCTGTCTAACTTACAACTGGTTCTGGAACAATTTCAGAGAGGTAGGTTTGTTTTGAAATGAGTTTCTACTGAAGAAATATACTTAATTTTTTATATGAATGGGTTTTTTTCGTTTTTAGTGTAAAAAGTTCTTGGCACAGGAAATTTAATTTGTATATAGACATTGCCACATTATTGCAATTTTTATTATAATCTTTTTGTAACAGTGATGCATATTTTTATTGAGGATGTTTTCTTTTCTTTTTCAATAGAAAAAGACACACAGGTTTCTGGTGAAGTTGAAAAATATCAACGAGAGAATGAAAAACTTAAAAAGACAGTCACAGAACTTAGTGCAGAATTAAAAGTAGTCAAGGTTGGTATATCAATCTTATCATGTAAAGTTTTAAGATTTACTAATCTACAAAATGTTAATTATACCCCCACTTTAAAAAAGTGGGGTATACTGTTTAACCTCTGTCTGTCAGTCCGTCCGTCCTTCCGTCCCATGAATATTTTTCGTCGCATTTTTCTCCGGTACTACATTACAAGGATTTCTGAAATTTGGTTTTAAGGTTTATATGAGTGAGCTATACCGTGTAATGCATTTTCAGATTCATCACTCAACAACTTTCTGTTTACCGAACACTTACATATTTTTACACTATTAAAATTATCCATATTTGGGCGGGGGTATCATCAGTGAGCAGTAGCTTGCAGTTTCACTTGTTTAATAAGCTCTGCAGTTTAAGAAATAATTTTGATATTTGAAATTTCTTATCATATGACCTAAAGGAGATATGGAGTAAAGGTCGATCAGACAGCAGCCCAAAAACACATTCTACCATATCCAAGTTGTGGAATGTTTTTTCTGTCAAAAACACTTTTCCTACTTTAATCATTTTTAAAGCCATATATAAAAATATTCAATTTATTAAAGGACTAATACTTAATACTGTAAATTCATTATTATTCGTGGGATATCAGTTTTCATTAATTTCGGGTGTATCGGTGAACCATGAATTTAAATGTTCAACGAAGATGGAATTCTCTATCGGCTTGTATGCAGCCTTTTGTAAAACCACAAAATCAAATATCAACGAAAATATGGTATTCCCAAATCCACGAAAATTGGTACCCACGAAAAAAAATGAATTCACAGTATACATTTAAATGGTCTTTGATGTAACTCTTTAACAACTTGTATTCTTGTGTTTACAGGAAAAGTTATCTGAGGCAGAAGATGGCTTAGAAGCAGCAGCCAGACTTCATCAACAGTTAGATAAATGTGATCAGATTATAGCAGCACTCAAAGAAGAAGGTCAGTGAACCGTTACACTTTATTTTTTTAAATGGATACAAGTAATATTTTTTATTGATATAAGGAGCATTTTCAGTTGCCTAGTAACACATACCTTTTAGCTTCTTGCCTATATTTGCTAATCCATAACTGTAAGTATTTTTAAAGTAGTTTGGCTTTTAGCTCTCTCTACCTGCAAACTGCCCAGGATCTGTGCAACAGTTCGCTTTGACCTTTTGACCTTTAAAAGCTTAATTTGGTTTTGGAGTTTTTGCTACTTACCTTCTTTGCTTATTTAAAAATTTGAATTTTTGCTTGAAATTTTCTTGCTTAGGTGGTCATGAGTCAACTGGTTGTTTAATATCAGCTGGTAATCCTGAGGACAGGTAGAACTCAGGATACTCGCTGGTGTTTACCAAACAGCTGTTTAATCAGAATTGGGGCAGTTCGTGCAGGCAGTAGATGATGTATACATACATACAGATATATGAAAGCTTATATAGTATTTATATATTCTTAGAATTATAGAACACTAGAGCTTTGATTTAATCACTAGTTTCAGTGCTTAGTTTAATAGATGCTTAAAACCAAAAGCTTCAAAAGAATTTATAACAAGACAAAGAACATTACAATCCCCATATATTCAACACCTTATATTTTATTTTTAATTTCAGATCATTTTTAATTTTAATTATTTTTATAGTTTAGTTTATTAATTGATTGTTGGTAGCCTAATCTCAGCTGGTAAATCTGAGTTGACCTTTGACCTCAAGTTACTAGCCGAGATTATGTTAACTTCACACCCTTTCACCTTTACCAAGATTTACCTGTGCAAAACACACTCACCTGGTTCACCTGTAGTCACACCTGTTATTGATTGTTATATATTGAAGATTTTTGCCATGCTGTTTCTTTACATATTTTGTTTTGTACATTTTAAATTTTAAAAAAAGTTTTTATAGAAAAACAGCCCCATTCATTGAGTATCATATTGGTTAAGACATTTGGAAATGAACCTATTCTAAATTTTCTGTTTCCTAAGAAATTCATGTAAGATCTTGGATAATGTTTGGCATGGAAAATTAATATGTATATTAACTAACATCTTCAGAGCATGGTAGCATGAAAAACTCTATCCGTTTGATTTTGATTTCTTTTGCTGACAACATTTATATAGTAGTAACCATAGTGAGGATATCCTGGATTTGAAAAATAATGGAATGTCAGAAAGTAGAAACTTGCTTATGCATGAAATGGGCTTTGATTTGAATTGTTTGGAATGAAAGTTCCAATGGGATTGATTTGATGATTAGCATGAATTTATTTCGGAGAAAGCTTGAATAGTAGAAATTTGAAATGAATGATCATCCTAGGAACTTCAGCATTAAAAACCTGCTTGAGAAATTCAGCATGGGGAACAAGTTTAATAAAAAGTCAGTGCAGGTAACCAGCTAGAGAAATCCACAATTGGAAACCAGTTTTAGACATTCAACATAGTTGAGCAGCTTTGGGAAATTAAGTATTGGTATCCAGTTAAATTCAGCTGTATACTTTACTCATTGGCCATTTGCTTAAGAAATGCAGCATTGTTAAAGAGCTTGAGAAAATGTGTATGGGCAAACAGCATGAGATATAAGCTTGAGAATGTCAAGATAAGATGTTCAGCATGCTAACTTTTTATTAAAAGTTAAAACGCTAGCATGAGAATTGTATTCGATGAAGTTTAGCATAAGTTCTGTATATTTTATGAATGTCATCATTGAATTGCACTGAAGATATAACAATCAAGAAGTTTAGCATCATTAGCATGAGTAACCATATCAGCATGAGTAACCATATCAGTATGAGTAGCCATGAACAGCCATATCAGCATGAGAAGCCATGATTAACCATATCAGCACGAGTAGCCATGAGTAACTATATCAGCATGAGTAACCATGAGTAATTGTTTGAGCATGAGTAACCATATCCGCATGAGAAGCCATGAGTAAATGTTTAAGCATGAGTAGCCATGAGTAACCATATGCGCATGAAGCATGGTGCTGTATAATCCATGAGTATTACATCAGGTACTGAGTGTATACTGTTTTCAGTACCTTTTGTAATTCTCTTAGTTTGTACACTAAAACACTCGGAGGATGTACACTAAAACACTCAGAAGACATTGATCAACAGAATGTTTTGCTCGCTGTGTGTGGCTTTGTTTGATTTGCTTTATTACTAACACTCCTTCCTTAAGTTCATTGTCTTGTTATAAATTTAAAATTTGTTATTTTTAAAATTTACAGTTTTTCTGGGGGGATACTCAAAACAAAATTCTGTTGAAAGTCATGTATAATATATGAAATCATAAGATTTATCTTTATGTATTAAACAATTGATTGCCATGTTTATTTCTGTTTTAACATACAGTACAAATCCGTGAAGCTACCTTAAAGAATGCAGAAGTTGAAATTAGTGATCTCAGGAACAGTAAAGATTCCAAGGTCGACAAGTAAGTAACAGCAGGTGGTAGAGGGTTGTGTTGTGCAACATGTTTACAATTTTTATTACATTGTTTTTTGTGCTTGAAGCCTATTATTCACTGTTTCTTCAAAAATTGTAAAAAAAGGAAAGTTGTTAGCTATTTTTTTATTTTTTTTCAACATGAAATGACCCTTGTAATAGAAAGTTTTCACTGATCAGAGACTTCAAACTGTATGTAAAAATCATTGAAAACAGATTCAACAACATTATTAAACTGCAAAATGTTTACCTTTCAATATCAAATTTATATATAAAAATAAAGAAAAGAAATCATATATTGAGAAATTAATTAAATAAAAAAGAATTAAAAACTTGAAAAATGATGAGTGAAAAAGTACTGGACCCTGAAAATTAGTAATGATTGTAATACAATATTATAAGTACAAAAACATAAACAATGACCTGGAATCAGAAGAAGTATTGAATGTCATTTGTTATCTGACAGTAACTTGAAAAAAGTATTGAAAAGGAGAAGATATATGAATAAATCATTACTTTAACAAATTATTGTACATATTGCCCTGACATAAGCTCTTACATTAAACTTTAGCCCCTCAGATTTTAATATAACAAACAATGAATTGATATTTTATGAATTATTGAATGATGTTTAATAATTTCAGGTTGGTGATTAAGAGCATGTTTCTTGGATATTTTACTGCCCCTAAAAATAAACAGGATGATGTCCTTCATACTATTGGTAGTGTACTCAATTTTACACCGCAGGAATTTGAAAAGGTAAAATTATCTGAAATTGTGTTATAAATAAGTCGGAGAAGGGATTTATATTTTATTTGAAAATTCTATATTTACTTGATTTTTAAAATAGTTGAAATTTAAACAAGGACAAGTGCATGGTTAGAAAACAGTGTATTAAATCATTGGTAATAAAAAAAGTTAGAAAGAAAATTATTTACTGAAACTACTGCTGAATATTTTAATCAGCTTATTGAAAAAAATAAGCAAAGTAAATTCTTTGTCAGAATTTTTTTTTTATGTAATAAAAAAATTGTCTTTCAGAAAAAAAAATTGAGTTGATATGTTTTATTCTGCTTTTAGATAACTGGCAACAGCAGTAAAGGAGGATGGATGTCTGGATTCCTGAGATTTGGGGGGACACCAGTAGCAACACCCCCAACCACACCCACAAGACGGCATACAGTCACAGCAGCAGATACACCAGATAGGGTAAACATTTCTTTATAGTTTTTTGAATATAGATTTGAACACAGAATGTTGAATTATAGTTTGATAAACATTTAAAGAATAAAGTTACACTTCACTCTAAATTTGTATGCCCTCGTCGTAAGCAACTGGGGCATTTAGTGTTACTCTTGACCGACCTTCACCTTGTCGTTTTCGCATTCTAACTTAAGTTTGCCTCATGCAAATTTTATGAAACTCATACACAATGGTAAGAATTTTAAACTTGCAGACAGAGTTCGAATTTGTGCAGTGATTCACTTACCTTTATGCCCCTTTTTAACTTCGAAAATTGCAAAGCTTGAGCGGGGGCATTCGTATCCTCAGACACATTCTTCTTTTATTTTTTTAATGACACTCAACAAAATGCATTAAAGTTTAATATTAATTAGATAACAATGAGAACTAGTTTTAGACACACAAATCTTGTATTTTGACTGCAGTTTAGGGATAAAAGAAAAATATAATTTGCGAAAACCAAAAACTGCCAGAGAATTAAAAGCTTTGATAACTTGAAATCGAATATGTTTTGCATAAGACTATTAAATTTTATGATGACATTAATAAATTTTGATTTTTTATTGCAGTCCTTTTCTGAATTATTTGTTAAATTCTTGGAGACAGAATCATCACCCAAACAAACAATGAAACTTCCTGCCGAGGAGATGGCCCTGGATGTACAGAGACATCACAAACCCGTGTTTAATCCATTCACGGCACCAAGACATGTGAACCATGAAGGGAGACAACCTCATGATGAACGACATTTACTGATGCCTTCATCTCCTTTATCATCTACACTGCCTGTGTTCTCTCCTGCTATGGACACTACACGTCCAACTAAACCAAAAACTTCTAGTGCTATATTGAACGATGTTTTAAAATCTAGCTGATAGTAGTTCATATTTTATTGCAATTTTTAATTACCGGTATAATGACACACATGTTTTATAGATAGTTGGTGGGTTGCATGACTCAATTTAATCATTACTATTTCATCTTGGTAAGAAAAAAAATGCTTTTTGTCATGTGATCATGTTATCTTATCAGGTGACCATGACATCTTGCCAGATGACCATGCAATATTGTCAGGTGATCATGCCATCTTATCAGATGATCATTCCAGGTGACAATGACGTCATAGGGTTGACATTGTCATCTTGTGGTGTAGATGATCATGCTATATTTTTGCCATTAATCATGGTTATCAGGTATTGGACTTGGTGATGTGTAAATTCATAATTTAAATTATTTGTCATTGATTTTGTTGTTCTTGATATTTGTTAGAGAATGGATATTTTCCAAGGTTTAAATATAAACCCAGTCATATCATGAATGAGATATTTATATAAATTAATACTATCAGTCTGAAATAGATTCTATATTCTACTGAAAAATTAACCCTACAATTGTCAATTTCATCACAGACCACCAATGAAATTAAGGCATTATAGAAAGACTGTCCGGTGATGACTGCTATCCATTTGTTTGTTCACCCTCTGTTTTACTAGGATATTGACATTTGATGGGAGGGTGCTTGTAATTGGAGGTCTTCAAAATTTTACAATATGTCTGATTACAAAATGTTCAATCCATACAGTGCTGTATTTTATTTCCTAGATAGAATTTGGCATTGATTTGTTTAGATTGAAAGTAGTGGATACATTTTGTACCAAAGTCTGTGATAGAATTATTCTTTGGGATGTTAAAAACGTAAACACAATGGATCTGAAAATATTATGAAGGTTGTTAAAATGTGAATTAAAAATATTTAATTTGTTATATGGAATTTTCATATTTTACAAACATGAAAGTAATATTTTGTTTTTAGTGTTAAGATATTTATTTTGTGTTACTATTTATTTTCGTTAAAACAAACGAGGGGTTTATAAGTACAAATATATTGTATACATTTTTCTATCTTAAAATCACCATGTTGAAAGTTTTTAAAGAATTCTGTCTATTATTGATACATTTAAGTTACTTTTATCAAAATCTGTGAAAGAAATCAGTTTCATTTCAATCATGACAAAGTAAATATGTTTTGGCCTTTGATTGATATGTGTTATGCATATTTTTCAAACACTGTGTTATAATATATGTATATTAGTAGTAAACATTATCACTATAAATTAATAAAATATTTTCATAGATTGACTGTTTATTTCCTTAAGTATAAACTAGAGATTGGGGATGTTCACATTTACATGTCAGGGCTTGGATTTTGAGAAATATACTCACTATTCATATACACAGAAAAATTTGTGGATTGGAAAATTTACATTCTGCCTATAACTTGATCAATCATGGTTTGCTTGTCTCTAGTAAATTCATGAAAATTTTTTATCATTGGAAACCAATTATATGATGACAAGACTTAACTCAGATTTAACTCCAATTACAAGGAGATGTGGTATTAAATCCAATGAGATTTCTGGAAGAAGACACAAGTAAATAAAATACTAAAGAGGTCCAAATTGGGTCTACAACAATTTGATATGGCCCTACACTGACAGGCTCTAAATTTCCTTGAGAAGAAGAAGCAAGTGCTTGCTCAGAGTGTGACTTTTATTGTCTCGCCTGCGTCGCGATATGCACAATATACATATTACTATTTGTATAAAGCTTTATATTTCAGACCTGGATGCTTGATACATAGTATGCAGATACCTTATGTTACGTGTTACAAAGTTTCCGTCTGTCATGTGTCCATCATCCTTGACCTCATTTTCAAGTTTCAGTGACTGCTTGAATAAAAATTATGTTTTTATGCCCCCGCCGTAGCGGAGGGGGCATTAAGTTTTACCCTTGTCCGTCTGTACGTACGTCCCAAAATTGGTTTCCGTTCTCTAACTTTAGTTTGCCTCAACCAAATGTTATGAAACTTATTCACAATGCTTATTATCACAAAACACAGATCAAGTTTGAATTTTGGTGGCGTCACTTTTACCGTTCTAGAGTTATGCCCCTTTACAAATGGAAAATTGCTGAATTTATCGTTTCCATTCTCTAACTTTAGTTTGCCTCAACCAAATGTTATGAAACTTATACACAATGCTTATTACCACAAAACACAGATCAAGTGTGAATTTTGGTGGCGTTACTTTTACCGTTCTAGAGTTATGCCCCTTTACAAATGGAAAAATTGCTGAATTTTTCGTTTCCGTTCTCTAATTTTAGTTTGCCTCAACCAAATGTTATGAAACTTATACACAATGCTTATTACCTCAAAACACAGATCAAGTGTAAATTTTGGTGCCGTCACTTTTGCCGTTCTAGAGTTATGCCCCTTTTCAAATGGAAAAATTGCTGAATTTTTCGTTTCCGTTCTCTAACTTTAGTTTGCCTCAACCAAATGTTATGAAACTTATACACAATGCTTATTACCACAAAACACAGTTTAAGATTGAATTTTGGTGGCGTCACTTTAACCGTTCTAGAGTTATGCCCCTTTAGAAATTGAAAAATTGCAAAATTTTTATTTTCTTCTAAAAATCAAGTAACTTTTAAAATTGGAGTTATATTCCTTTGTCCATGATTATAGTTGAATCAACTAAAATCAATGCTTTATACAATGCAAATGTTTAATTTTGACTTCCACTGATAAAACACAGATCAAGTTGAATTTGGGTAGTGTCACTTTAACCATTATTGAGTTATGCCCCTTTATAAATCGAAAGATTGCAAAATTTTTAGTTTCCATTCTGTAACTTAAGTTTGCCCCAACCAAACATTATGAAACCTATACACAATATTCATTACCACAAAACTAAGATCAAGTACAAATTTTTTGTTTCCGTTTTCTAACTTTAGTTTGCCTCAACCAAATGTTATGAAACTTATACACAATGCTTATTACTACATAATTCAGATTAAGTACGAAATTTGGTGGCAACACTTTTACCATTCTTGAGTTATGTCCCTTTATAAACATAAAAATTGCTGAATTTTTCGTTTCCGTTCTCTAAATTTAGTTTGTCTCAACCAAATGTTATAAAACTTATACACAACCGTTCTAGAGTTATGCGTGTTTACAAATAGAAAAATTGCTGAATCTTTAGTTTCTGTTCTCTACTTAAGTTAGCCTCTACCAAAAGTTATGAGACTTACACACAATGCTTTTTACCACAAAACTCAGATCAAGTTCAAATTTGGGTAGCGTCACTTTTACCATTTTTCAGTTATGTCCCTTTATAACTATATGATATGCAAGCGGGGGCATCATCTGTGTCCACATGTGGACACTATCAACATTTTTTTTTTTCATGTGAATATCTCACTTATGATTAATAGAATAACAATGTTTTGGTTTATGGTTTCCTTGCAACGTCTACTTGTCTGTCAGATAGGGTTCACCTGACCTCGACCTCATTTCATGGATCAGTGTTCAAAATTAAAATTACGTGATTAGGTCCATTTCTTAGATACTATAAGCAGTAGGTCAATTATATGTGGTGTATGGAATACCGTAATTGTAAGGGGTACATGTTAGTCTGGCAGGTTTCATCTGATCTTTACCTCATTTTCATGGTTCATTACTAAATGTTAAGTTTTTGTCGAGCCTGCGACTTCTGTTGCAGAAAGCTTGACATAGGGAAAGTGATCCAGCGGCGGCATAACTAACTACTTAAAAGCTTTATACTTAGACAGTTGTGAAGACCTGGATGCTTCATACTTTGTATATAGATGCCTTATGTTATGAAGTTTCTGTCTGTCGTATGTCCATTGTCCTTTAACTCATTTCCATGGTTCAGTGACTAAAAAGTTCAGATTTTTTGTAATGTTAATTTCTCTCTTATTATGAGTAAAAGGATAACTTTATTTAATATATGCAAACCTTGCAAGGTCCTCCTGCCTGTCAGACTGTTTCATCTGACCTCGACCTCATTTCATGGATCAGTGAAGTTTTCGTGGTCAAGTCCATATATCAGATACTATAAGCAATAGGTTAACTATATTTGGTGTATTGAATGATTGTAAGATGAACATATCCAACTGGCAGGTGTCACCTGACCTTGACCTCATTTTCATGGTTCAGTGAATAAAGTAAAGTTTTTGTTTTTTGGTCTATTTTTCTAATACTATATGCAATAGGTCAACTATAATTGGTGTATGGAAATATTTTACAATGTTCATGTCAGTCTGGCAGGTTTTATTAACCGGATTTTCATAGGAAATATCGATTATTGATTTAGGGATGTACGGAGGGCAGGCGGGCGGATGGGCCGCTGCCAAACAGTGTCTCTTAAATAACATGAAAACGCTGTGATGATTTTTTTCAAATTTAGATATGTTGTTTCTTGTGACTAAATGAGTCAAGTCAAGTTCAATTTTCATGATTTTAGTATTTCTCCTTTTTGAGTTATCGCCATTTTTAATATCCAAAAGTGGTATTTTTAAATATTTTTCTCTTGTTATCATATTATGACTAAGCGTAAATGTCTTATCTCACAATAGAAATTGGAGTGACAGATTTATTTGAAAATTTTCTATTTCCTAAGTGGTGATGATTATAAGCTATATTATTAGACATTTTCAGTATGATTTTCATTAGTAATTAGATCTGGGAAATATCTTAGCATATGATAATCATTGGAGTGACAGATTATTTGAAAATTTTCTGTTTTTTGATAAGATCTGTAGGACTGTATATATAAAGTTTTAAATTTACTAGTAGGACTGTATAAATGAAGTTTGAAATTTACTGTTCATTATTAGACATTTTGTAGATAATTTTAAAAGTCTCCCTAAACCATATATATTCTCACCCCACCCCCTTCAATTTGAGAATGTGCTTTTATCTTGTAAACGGTCGAGATCCCCACCCCTGAACCATATATATTCTTATATGGGACAATAAAACAAATCAAATGAAATATTGGGGGAGTCCCCCGGTTCACCCCACCCCCCTTCTTTTTGAAAACTTGTAAACGGTCAAGATCCCCACCCTGAAACCATATATATTCTTGTATGGGACAATAAAACAAATCAAATGAAATAAAAGGCGAGTCCCCTGGGATCACCCCCACCCCCTCCTGTATAAGAAATTGTAAACGATTGAGATCCCCACCCCTAAACCATATATATTCTTGTATGGGACAATAAAACAAATCAAATGAAATATAAGGGAAGTCCATGGGGGTAACCCCCCCCCCCCCCCCTTTCTTTTTGATAACTTGTAAACGGTCAAGATCCCCTCCCGGAAACCATATATATTCTTGTGTTGGACAATAAAACAAATCAAATGAAATTGAGGGGAAGTCCCCTGGGGTAACCCCCACCCCCCTTCTTTTTGAAAACTGTTAATGGTCAAGATCCCCACCCAGAAACCATATATATTCTTGTATGGGACAATAAAACAAATCAAATTAAATATAGGGAAAGTCCATGGGGGAAACCCCAACCCCCATTCTTTTTGAAAACTTGTAAACAGTCGAGATCCCCACCCCTAAACCATATATATTCTTGTGTTGGACAATAAAACAATTCAAATGAAATTTAGGGGAAGTCCCCTGGGGTAACCCCCACCTCCCTTCTTTTTGAAAACTTGTTAACGGTCAAGATCCCCACCCATAACCATATATATTCTTGTATGGGACAATCCCAACCCCCTTCTTTTTGAAAACTTGTTACTGATTAGTTTTATAGATTTTGAAAAGACATTGTATTAATGATAAATAAGATTTTGGATTTTTTGGTAAATTGTTTGAAGAATTTTGTGGCAAGTTTGTTTGTTATTCTGTAAAAACTAATTTTCTGAATGCTATAAAAAAAATTTTGATGAAGTGAACTCCTTTAAAAACTAAGCTTATATTGTCTATTAATAAACATATATTTAGATTTCTGATTTTGGGCCCAGTTTTCAAGTTGGTCCAAATCAGGGTCCAAAATTAAACTGTGTTTGATTTCAACATAAATTGAATATATATAGGGTTCTTTGAAATGCTTAATCTAAACCTATTTCTTTTCATTATTAATAAGTAATACCACATTGATGTCCAAAGGGTCCTAAATTAAACTATTGTTTAATTTCATCAAAAATTGAAATCTTTGGTTCTTTGATATGCTGATTGAGTGTTAAATCATATCTAATTTTAGAGAACTTAGTCATCGCTGGTTGTTGTTATTATATTATTGATTATAATTTGAAAAATTGCATCATATCTTATTTTAGAGACCAATTTATCCAGTTTGAGTTATTTCCCTTTGCACAGAAAATAATGGATAAAATTAACCTGTGTTTCATTTCAACATAAATTAAATATATATAGGGTTCTTTCAAATGCTGAATCTAAACCTGTATTTAAATATTAGATTTTTGGGCCCAGTTTTCAAGTTGGTCCAAATCAGGGTCCAAAATTAAACTTTGTTTGATTCAAAAAAAATTGAATTCATGGGGTTCTTTGAAATGCTGAATCTAACCATGTATTGAGAGATTTTGGATTGTGGGCTCCTTTATCAAATTGGTCCACATTGAGGTCCAAAGGGTCCTAAATTAAACTTTTGTCTGATTTCATCAAATATTGAATTCTTGAGATTCTTTGATATACTGATTCTAATATGTTCTTAGATTTTGGATTTTGGATATTGGACCCTAATAGGTAAATGTCCAATTTCAAATATTTCAGTTCTATGCTGTGTCAAATATTCAATCACAATCCAAATTCAGAGCTGTTTTAAGCTTAAATGTAGTGTCCATACTTGCTCAACTGTTCAGGGTTCGACCTCTGCAGGAAAATCCCGTTTGCTGTCACTCTGACAGCCTCTTGTTTGACCTTGACTTCATTTTCACAGTTCATTGCTCAGTGTTAAGTTTTTGAGCGGATTTTCGAAGGAAATATCGGTTATTGATGTGGGGATGTACGGCAGGCGAGCGGGTGGGCGGCTGCCAAACAGTGTCTCTTCAATAACATGAAAAAGCTGTGATGATTTTTTTTTCAAATTTAGATATGTTGTTTCTTATGACTAAATGAAGGTCAAGTTCAATTTTCACAATTTTAGTATTTCTCCTTTTTGAGTTATCGCCCTTTTTTAATATCCAAAAGTGGTATTTTTAAATATTTTTCTCTTGTTGTGTTTTGGTCTGTTTTTCTTAAACTATAAGCAATAGGTCAACTATATTTGGTGTATGGAATGATTGTAAGGTGTATAGGTCTGTCTGGCAGGTATCATCTGATCTTGACCTCATATCACAGTTCATTGGTCAATGTTAAGTTTTCATGGTAAAATTTGATTCTTAGAAACTACAAGCAATAAGTCAACTATATTTGTTGTATGGAATGATTGTTAGGTGTATATGTCTGTTGGGCAGGTATCATCTGACCTTGACCTAATTTTCATGGTTCATTGGTTAATGTTAAGTTTTCATGGTTAAGTTTGTTTCTTAGATACTATAAGCAATAGGTCACCTATATTTGATGCATTGATCGATTGTAAGGAGTACATGTCTGTCTGGCATGGTTAATCTGACCTTGACCTCATTTTCATGGTTCATTAGTCAATGTTATGTTTTCTTGGTTAATAGATATAAGAAGATGTGGTATGAGTTTGATTCTTAGAAACTACAAGCAATAGGTCAACTATATTTGGTATATGGAATGATTGTAAGGTGTACATGCATTTCCAGTTTGGTTTATCCGACTTGACCTTATTTTCTTGAATCATGTTAAGTTTATGTGATACTTGTAGTAAAGCTTTAAATTTAGGACTATCAACATTAAATCAATGGTCAGTAAAGCAGGCGAGACATTTCAGCGTGTGCACTCTTGTTGTGTTTTGGTCTGCTTTTTAGGTACTATAAGCAATATAGGTCAACTATATTTGGTTTAATAATAAATAATAATAATTCTTTATTTAAAGAGGGTTACACAGTTAGCTATAACACTAATCTTCCCTGAGGCCCTCATGAAATGCAATGAAATATAACAAACAAACAAATTGAATGATTGAAAGGTGTACATAGATATAAGAAGATGTGGTATGAGTACATGTCAGTTTAGCCAGTATCATCAGACCTTGACCTCATTTTCATGGTTCATTGGTCAATGTTAAGTTTTGGTGTTTTGGTCTGTTTTTCAAGTAGCAATCGGTCAACTTTATTTTTGTATCTTTACCATAGGACATGGGGTTGTCAACTGAGACCAAAGTTTTGACCTTGACCTTTGACCTAGGAAGTTGTACATACATTATGACACACCCTCTGGTGTTGGTTAATATTCATGTCAAGTATAAAGTATGAAATTATAACAGTTCTCTAGATATAGAGCGGACACAATTTGTTACAGACGGACTGACGGACGGACAGACTGATCACTATAGGGCGACCTGCCATTCGGCGCGGCCCTAATGATCAAATATCTATGAAAAATACAGTTTTTCCTCAATCCACTAAAGTTGGTACCTACGAAAAATAAATGAATCCACAGTACTTGAAAATATATGTATGGTTCATGCAAGGTATTTCAGTTTTCTCCACAAATGAAATGAGGCATTTAACTTTATAAAATAAACAAAACTCTAGCTTAATTATTAGTTGTTTATTACATATCACAGTTGATAATGGTTTCATAACTAGGAGGATTATATCCCCTTTAATCATGTCTACAAAGGATTGTCTCCTCTTGTGTCAATTATAGTGATCAGGAATAACTTATGTTGATGGGGTAATATCACAATGGGTATATTTACTTTCATGAGAAATTAGTAAATAATTAGTAAGACTGCAGCATAGTATAAAATAAACCCAGCATTTCATTGCAAAACATTTTGCTATATTTAAAAAAGTGACATTTCAAAATTTCAATCTAACAGTGGTTCTGAGAAAGTCTATTTTCTTATATGCAATAAAACTCTAGTTGACATTTTAGGAATCTTAAACACTTAAAATTCATGCATGCAGAGTGAAACTTCAATTGATATATAGTTGTGAAGAAAAACTTCAGTTGTGTTTATCCTTGAACATGATTATCTTCCCTTGACACAATCCTATTATGATTATCTTCCCTTGACACAACTCTATCATGATTATCTTCCCTTGAAACAATTCTATTATAATTATCTTCCCTTGAAACAATTCTATTATAATTATCTTCCCTTGACACAATCCTAAAGGTTGCAGTCTTGTAATTGACTGCTCCATAGGCTTACATGCAAAACAGCTGATCTTTGAAATTTTTTAAAAATAAAATGCTACATAGAAAATTTTTTTCATGTACATATCATGTGAAATTGTGATTTATTGGGGAAAAAAGTGGGTCATGCCAAGAAGAATAAAAAGTTATGAAACCTTGAAGTCAAAACTACTTTTTTCTACTTTCTGTTTGCTGTTTTTACTAGGCCGCACCACTTCCAGTAAACACGATATCCTATCACTTTCCTGGTTTGATATCCCCAAAAGATGCAATATTTTTTTTTATCTAAATAGATGTTTCGTTTCAGTATAAATTTTTAATCAAACAGAAAAAATTGAGTCTAGAAAAAAATGGACTATTTTATTTAACTCCATGTTTTGACATGCACCGAAACTGGAGTTGTAATACAAGACTGGTACCTATAATGATTATCTCATTTTGAATCAAATTCATTAAACGGGAAGACTACTGGTATATTAAAGTATTTACCACAAAATATGTCGCCAACAAAGAGATACATTATAGAAAGTTTTATTCTATAAACAAAAATTGAAAATAATATTTTCAAATAATGGCATTTTAAAACATAAAATTATTCCTTTCATTACTAATTGTAAGTAACAAATTTTCTTATCCCCTTATCATCCATATTTTTACTTTTAAAAAAGTATATATGCAGTAACAGTACAGTACCTCTTAATGAACATTAAGATGACATATTGAAAAAGGCAGTGAAACATTGAACAAAAATCCTATATAATATTGTCAGGTACTACTGTATCCTACAATCTTTACATAGATTAAAGACAGAAAGTATGTTTAGCATGCTTCTAGTTACCAGAGGATTAATGGAGCCTATATTGCTCACTTGCCATCTATACATTCTACTTGTATTTAAAAGATGCATGTACTAAAAATGCTGAACTCCTTTTAAAAGCTTGACTGGTCCAAGGGTGTGCACAATTATAAGTATTATTTGCAACCATTTGAGCCCCATTCACAAACACAAACAAAATGAAAAATGCCCATAAAGGCCTTTAGAAACCCCATTAAGAAATATAAAATGGTTTCTCATTTTAAGCCTAATTTGTTATGAGGATAAATTTATGTCAACCAAATTGATACCTACTCATCACAAAATTACTTACAAAGCTTCACAGGAAGACTGAAAACAAAGCAGAAAACTGACATCTACTTGTTATCCTAGAGAGGGGCCTATGGCCGAGCGGTTTAAGTTGTTCATCTACAGTTATGGCTAGCCTATAGTTCTCTCAGGTTGGGAGCTGAAACCAATCTTGTGGCAAAGTTTTTTCTGGTCTTAATTGAAAAGGATTGCTATTTTTCCTACCAAGGTTTGGGATTCCCTTCAATCTACAGCCTCTTCTACTTATTTAAACTGGTTGCCATGATATAACTAAGGCCCATAAAAAAGGCTTTAAACAAAAAACAACAATCAACAAAAGTTGTTTAAGGTCCTAATTATTGATTGATTGTTGTTTACTTCTAATGAGAAAATATTTCATGCATATTTAGGACAAGAACAATTAATACACTAAAGCAATTTAAATGGATCTAAAAAATGAATTGACCAAGGTCAGGTTAATTGGACTGCTCCTTGAACATGACATAATAACTGCTATAAGCAAGGTAGCATTTTTATGATTAGTAGAATGTCTGATTGCAGGGTAGATGAAAATTCAAATGTAATAGCACTGTACCTTTTAAATGACTCCAATCATCTTATGAAAAGCTGACTTAAAATCAAATAGCTAATAAATAAAATGAGATAGCATTGATGAGTTAAGTATTTACATTTACTGGTAGCCCTTAATATAAAATTTAAAATCTTTACATAGTGTACACTGTTATTAAGCATGATTTTTTTGCAATTATTGTCTTGTAATGGTCTTTAATACACCTTATCGCTATTTAGTCCAATCCGGAAAAAACAGTCATTTAGACAACTTCCTGTTTGGGTCAACAGGCCTTGAACAGGTAAACAACAAAGGTCATCAGTAACGAGCTGAAGGAGGGAAAAATTTAGAAAGCGATCAATACGAAACTTTGATAGATTATGATCCACTTTTTTCGAAACTCAAATTATAGTCAAAAAATATTTTGTTTGAAGTATTTACGATGTTTTAAACAGATCTCATTAAAATGTATCATGCATGGTGCATTGTTTAAACAGGGCCCCAGATAGCTTCAACTGGATGAAAAAGTTGTGTAATTTTAGAACTTATCCGGAATGGAATAAATAGCGATTAGGTGTAACGATTGTAATAAATTAACAGTAGGCTATTCTTTCCAGTCTTACCCTTAAAACTTCCTAAACTTCTATCCAATACAAACTTGTATCATTGTACTTAAATCTTAAGATAATTCGTTGAGTGAAACTCCAAAATGATTCCCTATGCTCATCAAAAGTAACTAATAAACTGATACTTCTATGTACATATATAACACATAACTAAAACAAAACAAAGGCCACAGCAAATTAATATCTTATTTCCAAAACTTGGTAATTTAAAGTGAAATTTTCCGAAAACAAAATCTCTTCAGAATGACTTCAGAATGACTCAAAGTTGGTCACAATGTTACTATTAAGTTTTCTTTATAGTGTGATTTTAAAATATGCATTACTGCCTTTTCTGAGTTTTGTTGTTGTCAGGTAGCTGTCTAATTTCTCCTTTTATTAATTTTTAAAGTTTTTCTATTTCCACTTTTGCATTGTAATTACTGTCAAAAAGGAATAGCTTCAACTACCAAAAGCCTTATAGTACAAGATTTTTTTCAGTCACACTAGCATCATTTGTTTATACTGGACCATAAATGTGTTCAAAGTTTTAACAAAGGAAACATTAAATGTTTTTTTCCCAAATCTATTAATCTTGAAAAGTATGTACATGAATTTGAACCTAAGAATTGATATGCTATGGCCTGATTAGTTCTAATTGACTCACTTGGTGAGATTCTTGTTAATGGAAAACATAGATGTGACATATTAAACAATAAGTGTGATCAGATCATAAAAACATATTCATAATGACATATAATATACTATGTATATGGATTGAGGTAAATAACAAATTTTAAAGTACTTCTCCATCTATTAAAGAATCATGCATTAGGTGATTCATGGTCAGAAAGCTTACACATTTTGATCTTTGATATTTTGTTCAGAATGCAAAGATATTTAAAAGTATCCTTAATTCATACTTGTTCCCATGGTCATTGGAGATATATATAATTACTGTAAATTCAGAAATTTTTGCAAGGTTTTTATTAATGCGAATAATGCGAATGGTAAAGTATAGCAATAATAAGAACTTGCATCCTGTAATCTGATACATATATCTTTAAAGCAGTTTTTTTCTGAAATCGCAATAATTAACCTCACATTTTTGTCCAGTCTTCAAAAATCGCAATAATTTCTGAATTTACAGTATATGAAATGCATTATGAAATTTTGAAAAGGAAGATAACTCCATAATATGAGGTACATTTCATTGTAACTTCAAATCAATTTTCCTTCATAACCAGGCAGTATGAGAAGAATGATAATCCACTTCATGATGTACATCAATGAGTTGATGAAATATCAAGAATAATAATCCACTTCATTTTAATTTTAAAAATGTGTATCTTTTATCATCTGAATCATATTTCATAAATTGCATGATTGATACATGAAAAGCTACTTAAGAAAATGATTTGTTACAGACTAATATCTAAAATGGAGTCAAATAAAATACAACAAAAACAAACAATGGTTAATAACTTTTCCTAGCGAGAAAAATACAATATAAATCTTTTGAAGATAACAAGAATTACTTTTCCTATACATGTACCAATAAATATGACTTGTCTTTTGAAATATTTGAAAATATTATCATTTCCTGAACTTGCATAGCACTTTTTAACATATATAACCTCAATCTGGACTAGTTTGTCACATAACATATTACTATCCATATGCTTCACAAAAAGTAAATATTCACCAAACAAATTGATGATGGTTAAAGATTGCCAACAAATTGTTTAATATTTGTACTTCTTCCAGCAATAAGCAAGATGTTTCTGTTAAAAGCCTTCATTAGTCAAAAGGCTATAGAGGGTCTACTATACAGAAACAAACAAATAGGTCTTGATAATTATGTTTGTTACTGTGATATAGATAGATTGTCTACTATGTAATTGAATTAGAAAGGACTGTGACTGTAGGTGGTCTATGCCTGAAACATCTTGCTTATAAGTTCAAAAACCACAGTACAAAATATCAAAGAAAACATTTGCAGTGACCAATTACTAATTTACACAAACGTGCACGCACAGAAATGTCTTGCCTGCTATACTTCATGATTGAATTTATGTTGAAAGGCTTTAAGGTAACGGTTGAATACAAGTATCATATAAACTTAATATTATCAATGTTCCATGTAAATGAGGTCCAAGTCACATGAACCTTGCCAGATAGACATGTACACCATAGAATCATTCCGTTCATTTAATAAAGTTGACCTTTTGCTTATTGTATCCAAAAAAGACCTAACCACAAAAAATTAACACTGACCAATGAACCTTAAAAAAAGACTCATCAGTGATGCTTGAAACATCATGAATGTGTCCATAGTACATGGATGCCCCACTCACACTATCATTTTCTATGTTCAGTGGACTGTTAAATTAGTTTCAAATTGATTGGACTTCAACTTCATCAAAAACTACCTTGACCAAAAACTTTAACCTGAAGCGGGTCAGACGGACGAACGAACGAACGAACGAAAGGACACACAGACCAGAAAACATAATGCCCCTCTACTATCGTAGGTGGGGCATAAAATAGTTAAAAGGCCAAATAAAACTATGAAGTATATATGAGGTTAACAATGGTTGAGGTTAGATACACCCTGCCAGACAAACAGTACACTTACAATCATTCTGTTCACCAAAGATAGTTGACCTATTACTTATGGTGTCTGAGAAACAGGCCATTTTTACATTTTCATTATCATGATTATGATGCTGAGAACTTGAAGGTCACAAAAAATGAATGATTTTCTATTTCTTCCCTGGCTTTTTAATTACTGACTTATCTTTAATTGCTTTGAGAATTAAAACATAAACACATCAGTATCAAAATGACGAGAAATAAACTAACACCAACAATAAATTATTTTCTGTTTCCTTCCCTAGCTTTCTACGATATATTACAACTACTGACTTTTTTAAGCATTATAACATGATAACATCAGTATGATGACAAATATTCAATATTATAAATGGCCTGCTACAATATAGTACAACTTTTTGTATCATCTTCTGAAGAAACACAAGGACATGTCAATCCTGGTTGATGCCGGGAACCAAACTGTCGCTGACAATCGACGATATACTGTTCATACATACTGTCTAACATGTATGCTGCTTTGATCTGTTCTTGTCTTGCTGGTACCTCTAAAGCTTTGGCACATTCCAGGGAACAAGTCCAATGCATAAAAGGAACACATGTGTTCCCAAGGTAAGGGTTCTTAAATGTGATCACTTTGTACCCTGGAATAACACAAATATACTAAATATGAAAAATTCAATAAGTTAAAATAGAAACATTACAAGTTTGAATAAAAAGAAATATGGAGAAATTATTTTTGAGACAGCAACCCAAGACACAAAAAATCTAAAGGTCAACCTACAAATATTAAAAGACATATCATTGAAATAAATAATAATATCAGAATAATTATAAAAAGTTTTGTTTATTCATAAAATTTTAAGATTAAAATATACAATACATGTATAACAAAGTGTCACTAGCAAAACAGGAAATGCAGAACCCTCCTAGGCACAATAGATCAACCAAGGTTTGGGGAGGGGTTCATGTTGCTCAGAATTTAATTTTCTGTGTAGTGTTGTGGACTGTTGTTTGATTTTTTTCTTGTGACATGATGTTGTCTGTATGTATTCTTAGACTTGTGATTTTGACTGCCCTCTAAATATCTTCTTTCTTTAAAAAAAATATACTAAGGACTATATAATAAGTTGTAATATTGCATATGTAAAATTATAATGTACATAAACATATACTTATGTATTATGTATTATAATAATACCTTAAACCTTAACCAAACCTTTGTTTAATAAAAGCAGTCCTTAAGGATATGTTCCAAGGAATCCATTACAGTGGAAAATAATATAAAACCCTATTTATCTTAGATATACAAACCCTTAAGATATGTTCTTGTGACTCCAATATAGTGGGAACACATATAAAACCCTTCCCAAACCTTGATCTTAGATACACAGACCTTTAAGATATGTTCTTGTGACTCCATTATAGTGGGAACATATAAAAAACCCTAATAAAACCCTGCCAAAGCTTTGATCTTAGATATACAAACCTTTAAGATATGTTCTAGTGACTCCATTACAGTGGGAACACATATAAAACCATAATAAAACCCTGCCCAAGCCTTGATCTTAGACATACAAACCTTTAAGATATGTTCTAGAGACTCCATTACAGTGGGAACACATATAAAACCAAAATAAAACCCTGCCCAAGCCCTGATCTTAGATATAAAGACCTTTAAGATATGTTCTAGTGACTCCATTACAGTGGAAACACATATAAAACCCTAACAAACCCTGCCCGTGCCTTGATCTTAGATATACAAACCTTTAAGATATGTTCTACTGACTCCATTACAGTGGGAACACATATAAAACCCTAATAAAACCCTGCCCAAGCCTTGATCTTAGATATACAAACCTTTAAGATATGTTCTACTGACTCCATTACAGTGGAAACACATAGAAAACCCTTCCAAAACCTTAATCTTACATAAACCTACCTTTAAATTATGTTCTAGTGACTCCCTTACTGTGAGAACACATATAAAACCAAAATAAAACCCTGCCCAAGCCTTGATCTTAGATAAACAAACCTTTAAAATATGTTCTAGTGACTCTTTTGCAGTGGGAACATATATATATATATAAAACCCTAATAAAACCCTGCCCAAGCCTTGATCTTAGATATACAAACCTTTTAGATATGTTCTACTGACTCCATTACAGTTGGAACACATATAAAACCCTAATAAAACCCTGCCCAAGCCTTGATCTTAGATATACAGACCTTTAAGATATGTTCTAGTGACTCATTTACAGTGAAAACACATAGAAAACCCTTCCCAAACCTTAATCTTACATAAACCTACCTTTAAGATATGTTCTAGTGACTCTCTTACAGTGGGAACACATAGAAAACTAAAATAAAACCCTTCCCAATCCTTGATCTTAGATATACAGACCTTTAAGATATGTTCTCGTGACTCCATTACAGTGGGAACACATAGAAAACCCTTCCCAAACCTTGATCTTACATAAACCCACCTTTAAGATATGTTCTAGTGACTCCATTACAGTGGGAACACACATTAAACAAAGAATAAATGTCAGCAATATAATCTTTCAATATGCCAGCCACATCTGGATCATTAAAAAAGTCTTTACGAGTTCCAATAATTGTCTTCGCTGCAAGAAACTGTAACATGTCCGGAGAAGTCGATGGAAGGACATTTGTTCCTGAAGTCGGAATTATTCGAAAGTCTACATCTGTGTGATACCACATAAAAGTCGACTTGAAATAATTATGATTGCCATGGCGATGGACGGTTTCAATGCCAGACATCTCTAACAGGAAGCCTGGAAGTGCATCCAATTGGTTGTTGTCTAGCAGGATTGTTTTTAATTTTGAACAGAAGGCAAGTGTATATGGCAAAGAATGAATATGTAGACGGTTATTTGTTAATGCTAAATATTGTAATTTTCTTAAACGTCCTATATCTGGAGGTATAGCCTCTAAACAGTTATACTTCAATGAGAGTATTCTCATATTGTAGCACCGAAATAACTGGAAAAATTGAGAAAAAAATCATACATGTAACACAACAAAAATGGATGAATTTAGTTCAGGTGCTTTCTTCATGAAAGATATATATACATGCATGTACTAACAATTTTAGGTAAGGATCTGTCTTTGTGAAATGTTATGCATTGGAAAGCAAAAGAAGAGCTATTTTTAGCTTCTTCAATGGTTGCCATTTTTTTTATAAGTGTAACTTCCTGTAGTGGTCTTTATCCTGTAGTGATGGAACTTATATTATATTATATTGCATTACATTAAATTATCAGAGTTTGTCTCTCAATCTATATGGAGGCCATAAAAACTTTCCCTATACTTTATATTTTTAGTTTTATCATTCATTTTCTAGCTTTTAACCACTTCGTTTATGGAAATTGTTATGCAGGCCTCTGTTGAAGGATATATTGTAACTTTAAGATGAAGAACAGCAATAAAAGCATTGTCCCTATGCTTTTGGTTTTTTCATGTATGTGTATTGATTTTGTGTCATGAATTGATACACCATATCCTTTCTTTTCCATTACATGTACATTTAATTTTGGCGAACTAAATGAGCAGCTTCAAATAGTATGCTAGATTACTAAGTTTGTTGTCTAAACATAATAGGTGCAGTTTTCAGTGAAAATTGTGTTCTAAACGGATCTGTAAATTATCTTCCCCATATTTTGGGGTGATTATATAATTAATATAATTATTTTTTATAGGTATTGTAGTATTAAATTTACTTACCTCTTTAGGTAAGGTTCTGTCCTCTCGAAACTTAAATATACTATCTAAATGGAACTCTGTTATCTTGTAAAGCTCAACATAGGTTGTCAATAAGTTGTCTAAAATTTGTCAACAAAAATACATGTATATTACGGTACCATCAGGTGTTTCAGCCAAAAATCACAGTGAATGCTGTGATTGTAAGTGATCAGCAATTAAATATCTTTGTGTATACTCCAAATGTTTTCCATAGACATTTTTGGAAAGATGGGGGAACTGACTGAAAGGATTTTGTTCATGATTTTGAAGGATGGGGCTTAAATAGAGTAAACATGGTAATAGAGGATTCAAAATTTAAAAGGCTGGTGCTTTAAATAATGCATGGGAGTCCCACTACAGTATATAAATAAGGAGATGAGGTATGATTGCCAATGAGACAACTATCCCACCAAAGTTCAAATAAAGTGGATATAAGCAATTATAGGCAACCGTACAGCCTTCAACAATGAGAAAAACTCATACTGTATAGTCCGCTATAAAAGTGTATTCTATAGGTATATGTACGACCTGTGAATCATAGTGTTATCACCTACAATCAAAAACAATAACTCTGCTTCACAGTGAATCACTCAACACTAAAATGAGAGTTTTTACTTAATCAACTAGTGTGTAACTTGTTTATAGAAAAAAAATGTTAAAACTAATCAGTTAACATGGTTTACTTTTATAAATTGTAACTTGGATGGAGAGTTGTCTCATTGGCACTCATACCACATCTTCCTATATCTATTAAATCAGTTTCAGTATTTAGTTTTTTGCTGCTGTAACAAAAATGTAAAAGTTCACACCTATGCTTTAGCCATGGCAACAAAGAAGAATTGCAGACCTAAATGTGCCATGTAATGTTGCTATGACAATAATGTAGAAATACCCACCTATAGGTAACCTATGTTGTTGCTTTGAGTCGTGTTTACAAAGCTGAATCAGTCGTTTTGGTTGGCGATGAAGACAAACTGATAAGTACCATAACTCTTGTGGAACTTTCTGAAACACAAATAAAACATATTTTTATCTGAATCAAGACTGAAAGGAATTTTTCTGAATCATTCAGTAAATAAAACTTATAAGCATACAAGGAGGTCACATGCAACAGTCTTTACCTACTTAAGATAACTTAAATTCAATACTCAAGGGTTTTTGGTGTTCTTTTTTTAGGGTTTTGGTTCTTTTTTTAAGTGCAAATAAAAATAAATACATTTTTGTAACATCCAAACTACAAATAAAATTAAATTACATCCAAACTACTCATGATAGCTTATGTGATCTTTTGACGTTTTATTTTTTATATATATTGACTATGTTAACATTTAGATGTATTTAATGGGTTTTGTGTTGTATGATTGCTGTCTCATTTACATTCTCTTAAAATCATACTTTAAGAATGTGATCGGTCAGTTGTAGGTCAACCCTAAAACGCTTTTCTAATTAAATACTTCTAAAAATATTATACCCAATATGTTCTGTGACAAAACATATGTGATAAAAGTTTTACTAGAAAGGTTTGAATAGAGTTATTTACATAAGAAAAGTGAATTTGTTATCGTTATTAAAATCGTTAAAATTTGGATAAATTGAACTACAAATGTAGCTTTCAGAAATGAATTATATATAAGATCAAGAAACATTGAAAATGTTTTTCATCTTCTACACAATCATATGTGCAATACAATATATATGTAAAATTGAGAATGGAAACGGGGAATGTGTCAAAGAGACAACAACCGGACCAAAGAGCAGAAAACAGCCGAAGGCCACCAATGGGTCTTTAACACAGCGACAAAATCACACACCTGGAAGCGGGCTTCAGCTGGCCTTAAACAAACATTTGTATTTACATTGTGTCATAGGTCAAATTTATTTGTTCAGTGTATGTTCAATGGTGTTTATATGTCCTTTGATTGAGTTAAGCTATTTCAGTTGATATTTTATAGTGTGTCTTTCTATGTTGCGGTGTTGCACTGTTGTTTCAGAAAAAGGGTGAAGGTTTGGTACCATTAAAACGTTTAAACCCGCTGCATTTGTTTGCACCTATCCTAAGTCAGGAATCTGATGTTCAGTAGTTGTTGTTTGTTGATGTGGTTCACAAGTGTTTCTCGTTTCTCGTTTTTTATATAGATTAGACCGTTGGTTTTCTCGTTTGAATGGTTTTACACTAGTAATTTTTTGGGGCCCTTTATAGCTTACTGTTCGATGTGAGCCAAGGCTCCGTGTTGAAGACCGTACTGTGACCTATAATGGTTTACTTTAATAAATTTTTACTTGGATGGAGAGTTGTCTCATTGGCACTCATACCACATCTTCTTATATCTATGTATACTAGTTACTTTTTTTGGTAATTAAGAAGAGATTTTGGCATGATGTAGTAACCTGTTTCAATTTTTAACGGTAAACACCCACTTCTAAAATTAGATAAAATTTTCCTATCATCTTATGTTGTCTATCATATATACATTTTTCAGAGAAAAAAAAATGTTATTCAATTTATCATGTTTATAGTCTATAAGTCATGTAAATATGCAACTGATGTTACCATTTGGTTTATTTCTATCATTTAACAAATTTTCAACACATTCTACTTTTATAATTTAACATTTTTTCATATCATACATTTAAGATAAATTGGAGTTCAAACTTGTGTATCATTTAACTTCTGTATATTTAAGGAATGACTGTAATATTTTTTCTGTCTATGAAGAAATAACATCAAAAATGTGGTGCACACTGAATAACCCGCGTAGCGGGTTATTTTAAAGTGTGCACCACATTTTTTATGTTATTTCTGAGTAAACCATGAAAAAACGTTGATGACGTCACGGTCACATGACAAAATCATGTCTATGAGCTGATAAACAAAACAACGTCAGCCAATCAGAAGACACGTTACATCCAAAATTAAATTATTAATATATAACAGTAAAAATAATACACATAATCCAATTATTAAACTGTGAAAATTTTCTTGCATGTCAGATTGTAAATCAATTGGATAATCTTTGTATTACTTAGGTGTGGAAATTTAATCACACAATTAAATTAATTGGTTAATTCCAGTAATTGTTTGGTAGATATATCTTCATTGTTTTTTTATTGAAGTTGATGAAAAATAATACATCAAATATCTGAGAAAGGTTAAAACTTTAATGGATATACATTAAGGTATCTAAAAAGAAACAGATCAAACATTATCAATAGAATATTGGAATCTTAAAACAACAGACATTTTTACTCATTTTATTGTTTATTCTAACTGCTTAATTACATGTGAAGATTTTTAACAAATTACTGAACAAATTAAACTCTACCCACCTCCTAAAAAAATAAGAGAAAATGTAAAAATAATATTAGGTGCTGTTTGACTAACAAAATGCGGCTTTAAATGTCAAAATGATTTTAAATAGGTGCTGGTTTAACCAGATACATCTTGATAAGATGCCAATTTGACTTTTCTATAGGTGCTGAATTGACCTTGTGGCGATTTGACTTGTACCTATACTCCTGCTGGAGTAAATCAGACATGAATTAAGTGGAATTGAATCATACATTGTAAGAGTTAACTAAGGTGTAACCCAACACTAGTGGAGAGTGTCTGTACCAAGGCAGAGACATGTCTTTGACCAAGGTAAGAAAGAATATGATCATCTTTTACGTGTCTTTGTCAGCTATACATTTTGTGTAATTCCTTGCAGTTCTTTCATTATTACAATATATATATAAGCTATTTTTCTTTTTTATCAGGTTTTAACAGTATTCTTAATTACCTGAACTATATCATTAATGTCAATAATATCATCAGAGCTCTTTTCAAGCTTATCTTGAATCTGCTTCCTCAACCCATACCAAACTTCAGGATGACAGGAAAACTTCTTGAACAATAGAAGTTCAAATCCATGATATATATCGGTCATATTTTGAATTCCCTGGATCTGAAGTTCTTTAAAAAATTTCTCATTACACGAATTTTGGCTGAGGTATCAGGGAAACTTTACACGACTGACTCAGTATGCATATGCCACCTCTTCATCATCATCCTGTCATGTTGACTATAGAACAAGGGGAGATAATCATGTTATTTAACTTCGAAGATTTGTGTTACAATACTGAGTCTCCTTTTTAACAATAAAAATTAATAGTACAGGATAGGATATAGAATTTGTTAATCTTTGTTAAGTTGAGGAAATATATATATGCTTGCACTTTGCACAAATTAACCCGGAAATTGCCCGTTTTGTGCTGAATTTACACATATCCGTGCACTTCCGTTTCACATCCAAGGTCAAGCGAAGCACCGACCACTTCGTAAGTAAACTAAAAGTTCTGGCATTATCTGTTTATAGTCAGCATTTAACCTTGCTTTGTATATATTTCCCTGAGAAACTTCACACATAGGAAAATTGATGTAACTTATGTTCTTTCACTTGAGAATTACTTGCCATTTATAAACGAAGCAAATTTTTTTATGTCCTCTGTTGCCAGTGTTGGCATGAGACACACGTTTAGACACATGTAGGATCATATAGGTTGCCTTTTTTTGTAGTTTTCAGTAATCCATCAAACAGGTTGACGATTTTTCTCTTGCATGCGTGACCTCTACTCGAATTTATCAACAAAAAATCAATATAAGAAAATTTATTGTAATATTTAACAATATGATAGAAAAGTACAGAATAACAAATGAAGTGACACAAGAGACATAAAATAAAGTCTCAAAGATGTCAACATCTGGGAGTTCATGTTTTTTCATGCAGACGACATTGTCTTAATCTCAACACAGCATAGATTTCCGACGTTTTCACATGACGTATGAAGTTATGTGTGTTTAAAAATGAAATTGGACACGGAAAACAGGCTATCTCAGAACTTAAGTAATATTTCTGACATTATCTATTCATCATTCATGGATTGTTGGTATGAGGGTCTTTACTATTGGTGGTGTAAATTGCATGTTATTAATCTGTTGATTAGAGGATCCAAAGATAAAATATGTATATTTCAAGAATTTATTATGGTATACCGTTGTCCATCCGTCGTCAACATGTTGGACATTAACTCAAAAACGCTTCAACCAATTTGCATAAAACTTTGGTTAATTGTTCATATCTATTGATGTGAGCTCCCTTTTGTTTTTTATAAAATTTAGATTTTACGTTTCTGAGTTATGGGGTTTTATTCATTAAAAAAGGGGGGATTTTCCAGTTTTCAGACAATAACTCAAAAATGCTTTCACCAATTTGCAAGAAACTTTGGTCAATTGTTTATATCTATTGACATGAGCTCCCTTTTGAATTTTATACATTTTAGATTTTATGTTTCCGAGTTATCATGGTTATGGAGTTTTATTCATTAAAAAAAGGGGGGTTTTCCAGTTTTCAGACAATAACTCAAAAATGCTTTCAGCAGTTCTCATGAAACATAGGAGAATTGTTTATATCTATTGATGTAAGCTCCCTTTCAATTTTTATAAATTTTAGATTTTACACTTCCGAGTTATGGGATTTTATTTATAAAAAAAGGGGTGATTTTCTGGTTTTCAGACAATACCTTTAAAGTGCTATGAGAAGCTTTCATTAAACTTTGGTGACTGATTTATATCAATTAAGATAACCTCCCTTTAGTCTTTCACAAATTTCTGAAATGGCTTTGAGAAGTTATTGAACTTCATTCGTAAAAAATGTGATGGGCGTATCATGCGCTCATGGTGCAGCTGTTTATTCTGATAAAAATAACTGTTTATTCAAGAGTTTCAGGTTAATTTTCAAATTAATTCAGTTAAAACATTTAGAAAGACAGATGAGCAATGTCATGTGAAAGGTGTCTACATTTAGCTGAATCATTCTGTAGTGATTCCAACACAGCTGGTTTCCAGTATTTTGAAGCTAAATTTTATATATGATATGTCCAGCAGTCTGGATAGTGTTGTGTTGTCTATTTATGTATAACATTCTTTGTCTTTACAGATCATGGCTGAGTTTGTGAGACTTGTGTTTTGATTGATGATGGTATAGTTTATTTTTTATTGATTTGTATCAATTTATCTTTACAGATCATGCCTGAGTACGGAAGACAGATGATTTATCCCTATACAGGATTTGGGAAGCTAGCTCGATTTAACTACAGATATAGATGGCACAATGATAGAATTCTAAGATTCAGAACCTACTTGTTACCATTTGTTATTTATATGGGTTGGAAAATACAGTCTGTATGTAAGTGATAGTTTATCATTCAAGTGTATTTTTATTGGATTGGATTTCCATCTAGCATGTCTAGTGAACCAACACCTTTGTGTTTTAAATTTTGGTAAAGACTCCCTGAAGAGGATATCTTGGTATGCAACATTCACAAAATTTGTCATATAAAGTATCAATTTGACATCAGCACTTTCTGAGAATGCAATTTAATTTAAATACTGGTCCACATGTTACACCTATATCAGTACAATTTACTATTTATAAGCAGAAATTAAGCACTGAAGTAAAAAACTTAATTTTGACATCACAATGTTCTTTCTAAATTTGAATTTAAAGGAAAATAAAAAAAAAAAATTCTTTTCGCACATCATTCAGTGTTTATATATCTTTGTTTCAGTGAGGGGTGGAGAGGACATGAGAGAGTATTGGAGGAACAAGAAGACAGAACGTCGTAAGTTATCCCTTTTTTCAATTGGCCGTCCTGAAAGAATCATTGAAAGTTACTTCATATCAAAAGCTGAGAGTCTTGTTTGATCTTAATCTTTAATCTTGACTATGTTCTGGTTTAGAAAAAAAACCAACTGATTGAAATTGCAAAGGAAAGAGAAAGAACACTTAAATCCAGGTTATTTTGACTTTGTTGGATGGTTGTCTCATTTTATATTAAGGCAAACAATCAAAGTTATCAAAGTTGTCTGAGTATATATACAGTTGACTCATGTTATCTCGAAGTCAGCCGGACCAGAGAAATATTTCCAGATATCCATAGTTCAACTTATCCGAAAACCGGATGTTTGACAGACCAAGGGACATAACTCTTGTCTAGCTTGGTATGGCTAAATTAAATCTGGATGAATATGGGTAGGGGATCGATATTCTGGTCTCAGATTGATGTATTTGTATGTTATGGTCCTTAAACATTATTATAACATTTTATGTTTTCGTCTCTTATCAATTTCTTTGCGAAGTTACAATTTTTTCCTGTGGTTTTTAGCCGAGAGAATAATTTCGTTAACGTTATTTGAAGTTTACAAAATTGTTCATTCTCGTATACAAGAGATTTTAGAAAATTTATAATTTCTTAATTTTTCTGCAAGAGAAAATACAAAAAGATTAAACACGCCGATTGAGTAGTTTTGAGTTGATCCCCAACAGAAGTGTTAATCCCTACTTTATACACAGCCATGCTCATTAGTGTATGATAATGGTTAATTGTTTTTAAAACATTTTAAATAATTTTTCTTTAAGTATAACAATGTATCACTAATTATTTATCATAGTGATCAAACATAATCTTAGGTAAACACTTGTGGTAAAAGAATGTCATAAATCAATACAATGGTCAGTGACCGAAAATTTAATTACACGTGTATTGTCAGATTAACTCTTCAATCCATTTAAATCCCTGAGGTCATGTTTTGACATATGTGTATAAGTTCGAGATAAATAATGAATTTTGAATGCTTTGTTAACCTTTGGACCGTAAATTTAGTTAGAGTCAACCGAAATTTCGGCTCATCCAATTTCGACTCATCAGGAGTCAACATACATATATTTATATGGAACAAAGTTTAGCACCACAAGAAAACTTTGAATTATCCTAAATTTCAAGTCAAGACTCAACTGAGTTCGAGACAAGAATTAACTGTATATGTCATGTTTTCCAAATTTGGGCATGTGTAGTCCACAGTCTTTTATTCCAAAATTCAAATTGCCATGCAGGGTGCGGACTATGGAGCATGGATACTATAAGCAAGAAATAAGACAAAATCTGGATTTTGCAGTGTTCGTTTATGTTCCACCATGTTTTTTTTATTATAATTGTATTTAACATTAGAACAAAGTATCGAGGTCATGTGAAACTACAATATTAATCGGATGTTGGTTCAGATTTGATGTTTCATACTGCTGCATGTGTTGTGTTTTAGCTAAAGGTCCTTCAAACATGATAAAAATTCACTCAATGCAGTTTAAAAAAACATAGCATAGGAAAAGTGCTTTTATTGTTGTTGTTCATCACAAAACCAGAGTGAGACCTTTATCAATAAACTGTCTGACAATTCACCATAATACACAGAATTTTATTTTCTATTGACTGAGATTATACCTGGCTATAAATTTATCTTTTATATTTTTCTCATTTCAGATAACTGGTTTGCACCTGTATCAGAATGATTGGGACTTGTACAGACAATTTTACTTTCTTATAGATAATTTATCTGTGTTTCGTATTTCATACAAAGAAATAAATTGAGTTATATAAAAGATAGTTACATTTATTTCACTTTACTAATATATTAAAATTTATACCTCAGTAAACAGTTTAGAACCTCAGTGGCAAAACAGCTTAGGTTGAGGTTATTTCACCCTATCAGATGTGGATTTAGGAGGCGGGCCCAGGGTGTCCGGGCCCCTGCTTTTGTGGGAAAAATTTGGTTGATTATTTAGGTAATCACTGAAGCATGACTGGAGCGAGCCCCCTTTATGGCAGTGAGTGGGCCCCCCACTCCTATGAAAATTTCTGGATCCGCCACTGCCTATCACTACTATTGTAGAGATTTGTGTCAGCATCATCATTTACAAAAATGGCATTGTGTATACAATCTACCATTATGTGATAGTGTGTCAGTTCCTAAGCTAAGGTCAATGGTTTCACAAGGCTCAGTCTAAATGGCAGTGAATATTTAATCAACCATTATGCAATAGGATGTCAGTTAATTTCCTTAGGTCAATTGTTATCCCAGATATAAGGGCTTCCTCTACCAATAACACATACTGCCATTATATATTGCAAATTTTATAGAATATTGATTCAAGGATGTTGACATCATGTTTTTGACTTTTTGTCAGATATTCGGAATTCTCTGGTTTTATCCATGTGGTGCCAATAAAAATTTTGCCCATTAACCCCTACTTTAGAAAATTTAGAGAGAATCATTTCTCGCAAAATTGTCAATGGCTTCTATCTCAACAACAAGGACATGGACTTTGCATTTTTTTCTTCTTTTTTAGTTCAGTAATATATATACTATTGATTTATAACAGTCTTTATTTCCCATTTCCATTCTCAATTTTATTTAAAAAATCTTGTTATTTTAAAACAGAGAAGTTGACATCCTTAAACCAAACTACAACCAAATATAATGTATTGTTCAGAGCAGTGTTAAAAAATGAAAACAACACTTTATAAATATCATGAGTCCGAAGGTCTTTTCTAGATTTACCTTCATCTGGAAAGCTCAAAGCCGAATATTTGAAAGCCAAGGATTTATAAGATTTGAATTTCACCTACAGATATTGAAATCTTAACATTTCTCGGGTGGAACAACTTGCTTCAGGTGACTGTACCTTATATTTACCTGAGTTCCACCCTGAGCAATTTTGTTTAAACAACACTGCTTCTTAAAATTTAAGTAGAATTGACCAGTTGAAAAATGCATAAGCTAACACCTGTAAAAATTGATTGTAACTCAGATGTGAAGAATTAAAAATACTTGGATTATTATAATGAATTTTACCAGAAAAAATCGTCCATAAAATTATAGGTTGAACTAACAGAAGATTCTTGACTTCGGACAGGCACATGCAAATGTGACTGGTTAACTTGTGTTTTAGCACATAATCATCCCTATTTTAATCAACCAGTAAGTCAGTGGAATAACCAAAGGTTGATGCAGAATAAAATAAAAATCTGGTCAGACAAAAAGAATTGATTTGTCATTATCAGATTTTGATAACAACTCATACTTTAATTACAAATGTAACTGCACTTGATCATTGAAAAAGCTTGCAGTAAGAATAAATTAAAGTACTTGTGGGGTAAACCTCAATGAGATAGCAACAATACAATCAATAGATATCTATAGCTCTAAATCTTCTCAACTTCTCACGTGTAGAAATTGTGAATAAATTTAACAGATTATCAAAGATCTGAGATCAACATTGGACAAGTAAAATTAAAATATAACTGCAAACCACCACTGACAAGGTTCCTGACTTGAGATGGGCACATTAACATGTGATGTTAAACTTTATTGAGCATTCAACGCCTCCCTTTAAATTTCCATTAGTGGAATTATAAAATGTACATTGAAGATGTGGCTGTTCTGTATGTTGTCTAAATGAATGTCAGTGAGGATCAAGATAGCTGTGAATCACCTGAAATAGAAGGACTAATATAGTGCTGTTAAGTATGTGGTCTAAATGTTTGTGTCAAGGAGGATCTGGTAAGCTTTGAACTAGCTGAAATAGAAGGACTTATTAAGTGCTTTTTAGTATGTTGTCTTAATGTTTGTGTGAATAAGGATCTGGATAGATGTGAACCAGCTGGAACAGACAAGAGTTCTATAGTTCTGTTTAATATGTTGTCCTAATTATTTTTATTTGCGGTCGTATATTGGTATGACGTTGGCGTCATCGTCGTCCAAAGACGCATTGGTTTTCACACTCTAACTTTAGTTTAAGTGAATGGATCTCTATGAAATTTTACCATAAGGTTCAATACCACAAAAGGAAGGTGGGGATTGATTTTGGGGGTTATGGTACCAACAGTTAAGGAATTAGGGGCCAAAAATAAGTATTTTTTTAGTTTCCAGACAGTAACTTGTGTTCAAGTGTATGGATCTCTCTGAAATTGTACTGCAAGGTACCATACCACAAAGGGAAGGCTGTGATTGATTTTTGGGGTAATTGCCTCAAAATTTTAGGAATTAGGGGCCAAAAAGGGGCAAAAAACGCATTTTTCTAGTTTCAGGACAATAACTTGTGTGTTAGTGTATGGATCCGTATGAAATTGTACTACAAGGTTCCATATCACAAAGGGAAAGCTGGGTTTGAGTTTGGGGGTAATTGCCCTAAACGTTTAGGATTTTGGGGCCAAAAAGGGGTCCAAAAAACAAGCATTTTTACAGTTTCCAGACAATAACTTGTGTTCAAGTGTATGGATCTCTCTGAAATTGTACTGCAAGATACCATACCACAAAGGGAAGGCTGTGATTGAGTTTGGGGGTGATGAATCATAAGGGGGTCAAAAAATTGGAGGGGGTTTCCTTTTTTTTCCTTTTTTTTCTTTAAAATTTTCCATTTTAAATTGGTTATTTCTGATTTATATATAAAAGCAAATAATAATGATATGGTTTCAATAGGTAAATTAAAATTTTTTAAGTTCTTAGACCACATTCATTCTGTGTCAGAAACCTATGCTGTGTCAAATATTTAATCCCAATCCAAATTAAGTGCTGTATCAAGCTTTGTATGTTGTGTCCATACTTGCCCCAACTGTTCAGGGTTCGACCTCTGCGGTCGTATCAAGCTGCACCCAGCGGAGCATTTTATTATGTCAAGGATCTGGGTAAAGCTCTGAATCAGCTGGAATAGACTAGACTTCAATAGCGTTGTTTACTATGTTTGTGTCAAAGAGGTACTGAGTAGATGTGAACCAGCTAGAATTGAATGACTTCTATAGTGTTGTTTGGTATGTTAACCTAATGTTTGTGTCAAGAAGGATATAGGTAGCTGTGAACCAGCTGGAATAGAATGACTTCTATAGTGTTGTTTGGTATGTTAACCTAATGTTTGTGTCAAGGAGGATCTGGGTAGGCGTGAACTAGCTGGAATAGAATGCCTTCTATAGTGTTGTTTGGTATGTTGACCTAATGTTTGTGTCGAGTAGTATCTGGGTAGGCGTGAACTAGCTGGAATAGAATGACTTCTATAGTGCTGTTTGGTATGTTGACCTAATATTTGTGTCAAGGAGGATCTGGGTATATGTGAACCAGCTAGAATACACAAGACTTCTGTAATGCTGTTAGGTATGCGGTCTAAATGTTTTGTGTCAAGAAGGATCTGGGTAGCTGTGAACAGCTAAAATACACTTGACTTATATAGTGTTTGGTATGTTGTCTAAATGTTTGTGTCAAGGAGGATCTGGGTAGCTGTGAACTAGCTGGAATAGAATGACTTCTACAGTATTGTTTGGTATGTTGTCTAAATGTTTGTGTCAAGGAGGATCTGAGTAGCTGTGAACCAGCTGGGATAGACAGTACTTCAACATAGTGTTGTTTAGTAGGTTGACCTAATGTTATGTCGAGGAGGATATAGGTAGCTGTGAGCAGGCAGAACTGTTATAGTGTAGTCTAGTATACCCTGATGTGTGTTCCATGGATGATATAGGAAGCTGTGAATCAGTTGAAATAGACAGGACAGCTAAAGTGTAATTAAGCATTGTGTCCTAATGTTTGTACAAATGATGATCCGGAGAATTTCGAATCAACTGAGATTTGGCTGCTTAAGTGCTATTAAGTATAATGTCCAAATGTACCAAAGATTTTCTGGGCAGCTGGAATAGACATGACTGCTCTAGTCTTGTGCTCTAGTATTGTCTAGTATGTCATGTATGTTGTCCAAGTTTTAGTATCAAAGATGACCTAGGTATCTAATTCCGACCATAATCGCTTCGAGTTCGTAATTTTCTATACGGAGTATTTATTAGCTGCCATTACTTTGGTCACTCGTCCGTAAATTTTCTTTAAAAAAATCTTCTCCTCTAAAACTGCTTTGATTGCAACCAAAGTTTGTCTGCTTCATCTGTAGGATGTCAACCATAAAGTTAGTGATTTCCGTCCAGGTAGAACATAGGGGTAAAACTACATGTACAGTTTTGGCTAACATCTCTAAATTATAGTAATTAGAGAAAAACTGATAGGGTAAAAATTGTCAACATAACAAGTTCTATCTATCCTCAAAAATTTTGAAAAATCTGTCAACCTGTTATGGAGTTATTGCCCCTGCAATGTTGTTTTGTTTTGTTTTTTTTTTTAACTTTTTTTGACATTTCCCTGTCCCTTGACATTTTAAACTGTAGAAACTAGATTAAAAGTGTAGATTGGAAAAAATATGAGCATGACAAGATGTATCCACCCTGATAATTGTACAAAAAAAATCTAACTTCTCATTTTGGAGTTAATGCCCCTGAAATACTAATTTCTTTTTTTTTACATGTTTAGCAGTTGTTAGCTGTTATTCTGAAAACTATCGGAGAAAGGTTAAAAGTGAAAATTGAAAAAAAAGGATCCGCACGACAAGATGTATCATCCCTGAAAATTTTAAACCAATCTGTCAACTTTTTTGGAATTATTGCCCCTGAAATATATTTTTTGTGGTTTTTTTGGCTGTTATCGTGAAATATATCGTTGCAAGGTTAAAGGTGTTATTTCAAAAATGATCAACACGACAAGATCTATTAACTTACCTTGAAAATTTCAGAA